GATAAGTTGAAACGTTACCATGGTGACGAGTTTAAAACCTGGGAAATTCATGAAAAGGGAATAGACGAGTGTGTTAAATTCAGTGATGCAAACACTCAGACGTCATTTGTTGAAGAAATGAAATCTTCAACTGAAGAGTTAAATGAAGAAGAGCAACAAACAGAAAATGAGGTTGAAACCTACAAAAATGACGAAGATAGTGAAATAAATGGGATAGATAAACATGTCAGTCTTCAAGAAGAAAAAGACTCAAATAGCGACACCATGGTTTCTACTAAAAATCAAAGTGAAGATAAGAAACCATCAAATGGTGTATTGAGGCGAAATGCAAGAAATAGAAAAGCGCCTACAAGATACGGATGGGACTAATTGATTAATTAGTCGAAAATGTAAATAATGTATATACATATAAAAAGGAAATAGTTAGTTAAATGGATGACAACGTTGTTTACCTCATGATTATTTAAAAGAAAAACAAACAACAACAAAAAAGTAAATAAAAATCATCAACGCATACCTTAAAAGATCTTTTATTTCAAACTCTCAATGGAATTGCATATAGGTATATTTTAATGGCTAGTGGATGAAAACATAACTTGTAAGAGAAATTGTTAAGGGGAGGTACAGCCTTTTAAGTATGAAAACAGGACCATTCTGTAGTATTGGATAAGTTTTCGAACATTTTTCTTTTATCAATTAAACATAAAGAGTCAAATATCAAAATTGACAAAATTGCAAGTTTTTGTGAATGCCGTGATTATCCGTTTTTGTGATATGTGGTGACCCGGGCAATAAAGAGTAAACAATTAGAAATAAGTAATTAGAAGTAAAAAAATTAAGAGTGAACAATAAGAAGTAAGCATTTAAGATAATGAGAAGATTGAAAAAGTAACTTTTAAAATGAGATTTCTGAAGGCAATTTATGTTTTACAGTAATTAAACGTGTGCTTGTCGAAAATACACATAGGGATCGTTTTATCTAATTTTATTAAGAGATATGAAATTCCATGAAAATGGAGGGGGTAGTTTGTAATGCGAAATTATGATGGAATTTCATATTCCATTCGTGTAGTAAGGCCTGGCATTTTAATATGGTACTTAAATGATGAGATGTAAAGTCGGCTTTTTGTCATGTGTTCTTGGATATTGCATCTAAGTTGATAAGTTAACTAGACGAAGAGAATTCATTGTTGTTAAGTTATGAGATTTGAACTAGGCTTCTTGTCATGTGTTCTTGGATATTGCATCTAAGTTGATAAGTTAGCTAGAAGAAGAGTTCAATGTTGTTTTAAATGAGGTTGTGTGGTTGTTACTTATTCTTGGATATCGCATCTAAGTTGAATCATAGGTAACAAATGATCCACATGTAAAGCAGTGGGGTAGAATAACTGGTATTTATCCTTGGATATCGCATCTAAGTTGAATCATAGGTATCAGTTAGCCCACGTGCACTAACAGTAACATTAGTTGGAATTACTCGGTATTATGTAGAATTAGTGCAGTTTTGTTTTAAACTCGGCCTCATGAACCAGGGTTGGAGAATAATTTTGCTATGACCTTAAGAGGAATCAAATGACTAATGATTTTAAATATTACTTACAGTGAGCAAGTTGTATCTTTTGAGAATGCGAAAGCATAAAAGTATATCGCATGTTTTTCTGTTTGTGTATTGTGGAAATTGCATCATAAGATTATAATGATTTTAGTCTATCAAGAAACATATTCCTGCTGGACGGGATAATGTTATCTTTGGGATATCTTGTCTTTAAGTTTCTGATTTTGCATTTTATTGTTTTATTCCACACTATTTGTTATGAGATTTTGCCATGTACATGCTCGAAATATTATGGTTATTTCCTGAGCGGCAACTGGATAATGTTATGATGACGATCATAAATTGTCAAATTTAGGGTTCAATAGAGAATTGAATTGAAGCCCAGGCAAGTGGTTTTCTCAGTTTTGTAAGAAAGTACAAACTGTGGATCCTACAACGAGATTTTGTTATGACAGCCATCAATCATCAGGTTTAGTGAAATGAATACATGAGAGATTAGTCATTTATATTTGAATATAGCAATTTGTTTGTATTTGTGCAATACATAGCGCTAAGTATGAAAATATAGAATTCTTTGGAAAATCAAAAGTAAAATGCTATTGTGCACTGAGGTGTTACTGATTTACTTTCGGAAACAAAGTCCTAGCAAGAGGGGGCGACCTGATGAAAAGGTTTTAGTAATCTTGGCAGAGTCTGAAACCCATGTTGCATTATTGATGTTAATGTTAAATCGCTAGATATGTATAATTGTGTTATTACTTTTTGGAATTTGTCCTGCTCATTATGGAAAACATGTTAAGCCATATTTATATTCTTTCTTACTGTTCGTAAGCAATTTGCATCTTTTATTTTAAAAGACTAACCACTCAGTGCATTTTAAAGATAAAGACAAGTTTCACAAGTAACAATCAGAGATCATTTTGAAGAATAGAGAGAAAATGTAAATAATTTCATGAAGAGTTGAAGTTGAAGAGTTGCTAGAAGAGTTGAAGAGTTGAAAAACGCTCAGTCATGAAAGACAAGTCAAGTGAAAAGTTTGTATGTTGAAGAGATAGAAAGACTAGTTACTTGTCAATGAAGAGAAATTGATGTCTTGAAGAAAATTAAATTCATGAAGAGTTTAGAACACGAAGAAGACTTGTTTATGTCACATAGAAAAGCAAGTTAAAGACATGTTAATAAAAAATGTTTCTTAAAGACACTTTTGGAGAACTTTTTGAGAATTAAAAAATTAATTGCCTGGGATCCCAGTAAGCGATTTCCTATGACGACATGAAGTAGATGACGACTACCTAACCGTGAAGAAGCGATGAAGATGACCTGTGAAGGCGATGCCTATGTCTTATGGAGATGCAGACGACGCGGATTTCGGATGGAGTGGAGCCACAGAGGATTTCGACAACTGATGAAGGAGCTGAAGATGTACGATCTCCTGTTATTATGAACAATTCTTTTCTCCAACGAAAACGTTTATTATGAACACTGCTACAAGGAAATGGATATTTAATTATGGATTTTTCAGCGAGGATACAGACATATTCGATAATGGACACGATGCGGACGTGCATGTGATATACGGATTATGGATATTATTTCGACTACTAAGACGGTGCATATTTTGGATTCGAAAACATTACATCGTGGACTAGATGCACGTATTATAGCATCGCATTGGATCCAGGACTAGATACGCGGATTATAAAATCGGAACTTATTATGGTTTATTATAACGACGTTTATCAACAGGAACTACGTATGAAGCAAGGATATTTGCACAAACTCTGCGTGGATATTTCATATGGATATTGGATATGGATATGGATTATACACGAACTATGTATGCGGCACTGTGTTAGTAAACATTCATATGGGACATTGTTAAAATATCATATACATTTATTTAGATTTTGCGTATTTCAGTTTTTTTTAGTACGTACAATGTCAGGAGAATTGTCATTTTATTTGGGTGGGGGTTGTATAGCATTTTTCATGTTGATTCACCGTATTGTGCTGCCATCTTTCAATGGGTTTCTTATAGGTTTTGTAGGGTAAGGGATTGCCTTTCATTTCCTATAACTTGGGGGTATTTAAGAGAAATTTTGGGATTCATTCAGTAGAGAGTTAGATCGGGGGGAACATCACACATCATTTCTTTTCATCTTATTAATCTCATTTTCATTCTTTATCTTTGAATAGTTTTATTTTATACTGAAGAGTGTAATTGTACATGTTTAGTCTTTTACTTGGAATAAAGTATAGTTTTATGAGTATATTAATTCTGTGTTAATCTTGTCTTTTTTACATTACAAGACCAATCCATATTATTTTATGAAGAACCCACAGAGCTATTTAAACAACAAAGCTCGAAGCTTCAATAGGTTCATACTTGATAAACTAACTTTCAGCATTCAAGGATCGGGCCTTTTATACTAAATGGTAAGTCCCTAAGTGCGCTTAACTGTTGTTATAATTTTAAGTTTGAAAGAGTGGAATATCTTTTAGTTTTGCTCATACATTTTGTGCCTTTTGTTTGTAAGTTGTTGATATTTAGTGGTTGAAAGGATGGTCTTGACATTGAGAGATAAAACAAAGATTACAGGATGAAAGTTCAGACATTTTGACATAGACCTACTTGGCAGTGTGACACACAATGTCATATCTGACTTAAGGTTAGTTTACTGTAGACCTACTTAGGTAGTGAGTGATATGTACACTATCTAAGGAAACAATTGAGAAAACAAACAAACACATTTACATGTTAGATAACTATTTCATTGTTATTATTATGCTTCAGCGTAGGCCTTGAACTTATTTGTTGAAAAGTATAATGAAATAAATACAACATAAACTTTAAAAAATAACTATTTCAAATCAAACACATTATACGTAGGCCTAAAGTACATGTAATTCAATGTCTCTATTTATACTCATGTTGGAATATAATGATGGTTTAATGGTAAAAGACATGTACTCAGTCAAGAACCAATATGATGTTTTTTTGAACTGAACAAAGAACTTGTTGATTAAAACTATGAGCCAAAGTAATTTCTAAAAATTAAAAAAATTAAATTAGAGAATTCGATAATCCTACATTTTTGCACCAAAAATTACAAAATCCCAGAATATTGCACTAAAAATAACATTTTCTAAAACTTGTGCAGGGTGTCAAATAAATATGTTCTCCCCATTAGCTTTAACATCCAGATACATGTATAATAATGTTGCTGAACTTTTTTGTCTGCATGAAATCTAAATTGCTCTTTAGCACATTCAAAAGAAGTTTCAGATGACTAGCTCAACACTTTTATGCACAAATGTTCATGCTTTGGAAATTGAGGGGGGAGAACATATTTATTTGACACCCTATATAAAAATCCTTCACCGCAAAAAATCAAAAAAGAGGCACTGGTTTGACTTAGTAAGTAAGAATAGCATACCTTACCACAGAGTATCTTTCCTGAGTGTAAGGCATGAAGGCCTAAGACAGCTGCAATATTGTTAACTTCAATGTAATTGGCCAACTCTGCAGCAGACTGGAACTCGCGTGCATCTTTCATGTGGCAGACCCATTCATCATTGACAAAATGTGACCTATAAATTGACAGCATTCAAAGCTATACAGATGTGAGCTAAGCTAATACACAACTTTATAGCCTATATGAAACATTGTGAAGGTTTTTATATTCATTTGCAATTTTTTTTGAAAGAAAGTGTCATTTTCTACAAATATTTATGTCTTCATGTGCATGTACAAATGTAATACAAATGTGAACCTTAAATAAAAAAAGCTGAATTTTATACTCATTAAAATGCAAACTTTCGAATTTAGACATTAACTTAACTTTAAATATCAAACTGATAAAAATACTAGTAAGTAATATTTCTGAGGGTATGGTTGCTATGGCAACCACAATTACGCTAGTATGCAGTGATGCACAATAAAAGTCACCTTATTCTTCCCGCTGTGGTGAAATTGCCACTTTCTCTCTTCAATGGGGACAATAGAAGAATATGACATCTCCCTGGACCAGCCATGGTTTGGATCTAATATTCCAGTTGTCCTCATCCATTCACAACTTTCCCAATCATGGAATGCTGCATGATTGTCTGAAAGACACGTAAAATTTGACACTTCCTGTAGATACATACATGTAGGATGAAAAATAGGTTTTCATAAATTGGTAGTTTAGACACAGACCTGTAGGTAAGGGCAAAAAGAACGAAGGCCCAGATTACCTCTTTCAAAGGTTGAACTGATCTTACACATGTGTAGGTCAGCCATTGAGAGAGGAAGGCCCAGAGAGTTTGTGAGAACAAGGATATAAACCAATCATCTAAGAAACATTTCAGGACATGGTTAACATCAACATTCACTGAATCAAGTGATTTTCTCTTACTCGAGTCTCTAGCCAATTTTTAGCTAGAAGTGATTCCATCTGGAACACCATGAACTATTGTAAAATCTTCAGCCGTCGTTCAATAAATAATTTTCTAAAAATCGTTCTGTTAATATTTCATGAATTGAAATCGTAACGGATTGTCTTGTTGATGAGACGTTGAATGTTTTCATTTAAAATAGACGTTGTCTCGTTTTCAATTTTGAAAGCAGGCCTTTTTTCCGCTATAGCGATTTAGTCAAGATGGCCGCTTGTTGTTAAATATTTCTTTAAGTTTTATTTTAATTCTTTTGTGAATAAATATCCTGCGAAGTAGACGAATGTATGAACTAGGACTGTGTGTAAAGATCAATAAAGGTTAGTTTATTATGTTTACATCAATAAAAATAAAGACGGCTGGGCAATTTAAAGGCAATTCAAAACAACAAAGAGTGTCTTATTTATATGCTATGATCACATTCAGTGGCCAAAGAATATGGTGAATTTTCTCAACCATATGTTGGTCTATTCATGTTTCAATTAGAAAGCCCATGGTCTATTGAATGTACATGTACGTGAAAGTGGCAAACTTGACATTTGAATTATACCCAAGAAGAAGGGAACAATGGGAAAATGTGGCACATACATATCTTATCAATGAACAATATGGTAGTCTACTAATTGCTAAATTGGTAGCCTCAATTTTCATTTTCATTTCTGTTTTTTAAAAATCCAAACATCCGGTTACACTTTGATCACTGCGTGCTCTTGAAGACGAACACACAAATTCATAAACTTCATTTGAAATAAATGTCTTAATGTTACATTAAAGTTTGATCACAGATTTGATTGCGAGATACATACCTTATTCATGAAACAACTGATATTGTCTAAAATCTAAAATTTTCTAAATTTCTAAAAAGCGACCTTGACCTGAAATCACCACGTGACCCGGAAGTCAACAATAAAAATTGAAAACAAAAGTTTAGTAACAATCATGTGATGTTTTAGTTCGATTTCTTTGGACAAACGTTGTTTTAGTGTTATATGTTTATGATAAGATCAACTATGAACATTTGAAGGATACAGGAGACATAACATTGTTACAATGGATGGGGAAAGAAGACCATTACTCAACGGTCCAAACTCCGAAAATTCTGGCCCACACAGACCCAGAATAACCAAAACAAAACTTGCATGTGGGGCTATTTTACTCACTGAAACATTTGAGAGAATTGCATTCTATGGCATAGTTGGTAACCTTGTGCTATTTCTAAACAAGGACCCTTACTTATGGATGCCTTACAATGCAGTCAATGCGCTGGCGATGTTTACTGGAATATCGTACATGACTTCAATATTTGGTGGATGGATAGCTGACTCAACATTAGGGAAATTCAAAACATTATGTATCGCTTTTTTAATATACGCTGGTGGATATGTTTTCTTTCCCTGGCTATACCCATATCCAAATGTTAATAATGATCAAACAGTAATAGTGCCAGGCTGGTGCGGCTACAATGCATCTTACACAAAACAAAAAGATATACTAAAACCCACTTCTGAAATAAATCCAGCAGTCACCATAAGTATTAACTCTAGAATTGGTGGGAGCAGTGGTTGGTGCAACGATGACCCCACATTACAAACTTCACAGGATTGGCGACCACTGTCAGATGAACCCTGCGCGTGGGGTGTATATCTTGCCCTGTGCCTTATAGGATTAGGAAATGCCGCTGTTAAAGCCAATATCGCACCATTTGGAGCTGATCAGGTACTTGTATCCTCTATTGATATTGATTCTACATAAACAGGTCATTTGATGCAGTACATGATGATGTGCAATTTGTATTTGCAGAAACCATAAAGTTTTTAATGCAAATTCATTGTGATTCTCATTTAACTCTTTGATGCCCAAGATACAAAACATTATTTAGTAACATTATTTGTCATCATTTTTTTTGTCAACAACAGAATTACATGTAATTCATTATTCAACAAATATTTTGTTCCTTTGAGAGGAATACAGTAACAGCTGTGCATTTTGACAAATAATTCCGGAAAAATGAACAAATTGTGTTTCTCTCATTTTGTACAATTTTTGTACAATAAGTGATACATGTACACGTGCAGTAAAAAATAAATAAGCTGCAACCTATATTTTAATTCATGTATATTTCTCATTCCTCCCGGCCCATTTTTAATATTTTAGTACATGTACATGAACTTCACCTTTGAAATATCACTACTTCTTTTTTCTGCAGGTACGTTACGAGGGTCCAGAAACCACAAGGCGATTCTTCAACTGGTTTTACTGGTGCATCAACATCGGGGCATTTACCTCGCTAGGTGTTATTTCATACATACAACAACAATGGAGCTTCTTTTATGGCTACCTTATACCTGGCTTATGTCTCGCCATTGGTATCATCATATTCATTTTAGGTAAGTGTAAGATGCTTAAAATGTGAGGCATGGGAAAGCACAAATAACACTCAAAGTAATGTTTGCTGTGTTATATCCATCATTTCAGCTGACTGCAACATGGAAGAACATAGAGCCAATATTTTGAGTTTTAAATTTCCGAAGGGTGGAAAGAAATTGTCTTAGCTTACAGACAGGTCTGTAGCTAGGGGATGGAGGTTCGGGTAAGCCCTGGCCAAAAATGTCAATATCATGAGTTTTTCACCATTCTAAGCACTGTTCAAGTGATTTTTGCACAAAATTGTCAAATTTGACCCCCTCTAGATTTTTTTCATATGAGCCTCCCTTAGCAAGAGCTGGCTATGGATCAGAAAAATTACAGAATCCTGAAACTCCAGGGTACCAATTTATATGATCAAGTAACTGGCTTGCCTCTGGTTTGCTTTGAAAATTATAATCAATTTTGTCTTGTATCTATAAACATATGTACAAAAGTACAACTATATCTTATTTATTTATCATCATGAAGCTCAATTGACTTTATTTTCAGTTATCTTTTAAAATGTGTTAAGTGTGAGGTAGCCAAGACTGTCAAGGTGTTATCATGTATTTTGATAACACATATTGTGATATTTTGATAACACAATTTATCAACAGTAATTAGTGTGTTTCTGTATGTAACTTCATGTGAATTTATTTTTGTCACACCTTGAAAATTGCTAGTTTCATCTTGTTTAATGTTAGAGAATAATTTCTTGATATTGTCATTTACGTTTACTTTATCCTATTTGTTACATCATACTTAGTTAAGGAATGAAGACCGAGATTTTATGATTTATGGCGTAATATGATTGAAAATTTTATTCTATTCATTGTTAAAAGACCGAAATTGCATCGCGATTGAGGTCTTTGGCAATGGCCAGAATAAAATTTGAGGTCATATATTTGGCATAAATCATAAAATCGTCTTTGTTACGATTCTCAGATATGATTATTAGACAAGAAACACAACTATTTGCATTCATGAATTTTAACGGTCATACATACTCCAATATAAGACCAATAAATCAATTGTTTTAGCTATTGTGACATTACATATCATATTAGAATATTGTTTATTACACAAAATGTAAACATAAAGACCTTTGAAGAGCAACTGAAGTTTAATTGTATTTTCTATATTGTTATCTTCTCTATCTAGGGTGTCTTGACATATTGGTTTAAAGTGACGCTCAACACATTTGCATCTCTTCTGATAATCAACATTTCTCATATAAACAATAAATATTATTAATGCTCTTGACACCATTTTTAATAAGGCCAAGGGACAGATCTAGAAATCACAAGGGGTGGGGAATGTTGAAGTTAGAATGTAATGTAATTGTGCAGTTATTTAAATGAACCATTCTCCTGAATATTTTTTCTCATTTTTGGACCGAATTTCATCTGAAAAGCCATTCTTCTAATTCTTGATCGAACGTATGAGGTTAAAAAGATAGTACTGCATTATTTGAATTCAGCGTTGACAGCTCCAGGGTGGGTTTGAGATCCCCTTTGAATGGGCCCAGAAATTCTTTTTTGATTTTTGTATGCAAAAGTTTGTACATCTTCAATTAGTGGGTCATTTTTTACCTTTTCAGCGTTATTTTTCTAATTAAAGTCCAAATTATCAAAAGTGGGCCTTAAATTTTCAATCTTTGGTTAAAGGGGCCCAGAAATGTTTTCAGAATTTTTTTTCTTGAGCTTCTGAATCCGCCAGCGTCATCAGAGTTCAATATAGATTAAATCAGCATCAGATGTTTAACATTAACATCATTGTTTTTCATGTTAATGATATAAAAGTGATAAAAGAAACATTTGTTATACTTCAAAGGGATTATACTTATGTCTAGACTGAAATCCCTTGATATGGTTATTCACAATCATAATTGCACTGACATCACTGAGGTTGGTCATGATAAAATGAAAGTTGATTCACCCAAGTACAAAGCTCATGATGTTCAAGGAATGTTTTTTGTATAGACATCAGATTCTATGAGTCTTATGATTGTTGAACTGTAAATTGTAATTGATGAAAATTGATTATACAATGTATATGTATATGTGTCATAATGTTCAGGACTGATGCATTGAAATTCCTTAAGGTAGCTGAACTGAGCAGACGAGTTGCAATAATGTTTGGTTAAGTGACAAGTCCAGCACAGAACTCATGCCCCATAATGACAACATGATGGCTAAGCACAGTATCCTTGTGTTTCACATTGGTTAAAAACTGTTCATGGTTTATGGGAGTTTGTGTATGGTATTCAAATATTTTCTCAAGGTAATCAGAATTCACAAACCAGCCAGCCAGCCAACCAATAAAACAACCAGCTTATCACCCAACCAACCAACCAACCAAACCAACCAAACCAACCAACCAACCAACCACCTGCCCAGTTAGTCAATCAAACTAACAATCACCCAATCAACAATCCAACCTTACAACCAAACAGTCGCCCAACCAATCAACCATCTAACCAATCACCTAACCAACCAGCCAACTAACCAATGAACCACCAAAACAACCACCTGACAAACCAACCAACCAATCACCTGACAAACCAGCCGATCACCCAACCAGGCACTGACAAAACAACCTACCAATTGTACAACCAACCAACCAATCGTCCAACCAATCAACCAACTAACCGCTCAACCAATCAACCACCCAACCAACCACATAAATCAATCAATCAACCAATCAACCAACTAATTTGAGATTTATTGCATTGTGATTTCCATTACTTGTACATAGTTTGAAAGTGTGGAATTGTGGTATACATTTAGTTTGTCATTTGTTGCATTGTTGGATACATTTCCAGGTAGATGTTGTTACAAAGTGAAGCCCCCCTCAGGCAGCATTATAACAAACATATTCTGTATAATGAAGGAGAGCTGCTCAAGGAGAAAGTTCAGACATCCCTCACCAGATGGCAGTAAGGGTAACATTGTTGAAGATAGGTAAGTTGCGAGTATGCTCACAATATTTCATGTATTGTAATGTCACCACCAAAAAGTGGTGACATATTGTTGTTTACTTATGTTATTAGTACATTTTGATGCGCTATTTTCACTTTTCCCAGATTTAAAGGATAGATTTCCATACCACATTGCTCATTGTGAAAATCTGTTGATTCTTCTGTTATTTTTGTGGAAATAATTTCCAAGATAGGGCTCTGTGGAAACAAAAAAACTGGGGAAGTGCACTATTGTATTGTATTGTATTGTATTGTATGACATAGAATTGTTTTGTATGATAAAGAAGTAACGAGAGATCCATAATGACTGTCGATCTCTTATTTGCCATTATTTCCACTTACAGCTTCACATTGTTATTTTTCGCTTTCTAAGAAATACAACAATTAAGGATTAAAGCCTTGGATTCGGTGCATCGTGTGCTGAATCATTCAATTGAATGTGTTGTTTCCGAATCTTTGCATGACCTTGCAGCTGGAATGCAAAGTTTAAGAAACAATGCCTGAGTGGAATGAAGCAGCCACAATGCTATGAGTCTTGGGTTAAATTATTTTCAAACATTGCAAAATATTTTCTTCAAAATCACCTAAAAGATACAAAATTACTAAAAGAACATATTTTCATTAAAACCTTTCAAGTTGGCAAAGTCTCAGTATCAATCTGGATATTTAGTTATTTTTGTGAATAAACCCTAGTAAATTTATATGCCAGTGTTGTTCTATCGTGGTATAATTTAAATAAGAACCCGACCCCGTGTCAATATTGTGACAAACTTGTCACCTTGACAACTGTTTAACAAGTGACTTTTGATGCAGCGATTGGTGATATAATGCGCTGCAGTTATATGAAATACTGCGTTCAGATTGGCTGGAATTTGACACACCCTGCCTTATAGCTTTGTGCTCGTGTGTTTCTTTAGATTACAGCAACAACACAAATATATTTTTAACAATAATGAAAATTAATCATTGATGTTAATTTCATAAAGTCTTGGTTGCTCCATGTTATGGCCTATTTAAGTCCTGGTTGCTGAAGTAAGGAATTCTCATTGATTATTGGAGCCCTTGAATGTGCGAGGGATTATCATAAAGTTCTCATGATAGGTTATCTCCCTAATTTCTGTATTTTTCAATATATTCGTATGAAATTTTCACAGAATGTACAGCGCACCTTTATTTGGTTCCAAACATAATAAGGTGCTGCAAAATTGTTTATTAAATGATCTTTCTGAAAAATTGTAAATTGCCTATAATATCACATTCAGAGACAGCGTTGCCAACTGTCACGCTATTGTAATACTTCATATGTATTTATTTACAGTGCCAACATCACACACAGGGAAAGTATAGGTCCTTCCATTCCAATGCCATCATGTTTAGACATGGCCAAGGTGAGGTATGGAGGCAGTTACCACGAGTCTATAGTTGATGATGTCAAGTCTCTTGGAAAAGTCCTTGTAGTGTTTGTTCTACTTGTACCGTACTGGCTTGTCTACTTTCAGGTTAGATAAACCTTTTTATGATTATTTTTTTATTTTTCATTAATTACATTTGCAATATACGATGTATTATCAAATATATTGTATTGCATTGCATTGTATTGTATTTTATTGTATTGCATTGCCTTGAATTGTATTATATTGTATTGCATTGTATTTTATTGTATTGTATTGCCTTGAATTGTATTGTATTGCATTGTATTTTATTGTATTGTATTGCATTGCCTTGCCTTGAATTGTATTGTACATCTGTTATGTTCCTGCTTTGTACATGGCTCTCATTGTCATTGTCAGGCAGTTATGATAGATTGATTCACAGTATTTCTGAGTGAATAACCTCACAGCTCAGGACTAGTATAATGTCTCAATGAGAATCAGGTAGAGCATCACAGATGCTTCAGTTTTATCCTACAGCTGTGTCAGTCAGCACAATATGTTGCAATTAAAAACAACAGTAAAACCTGGTTTATCCAAACACTATTCTGACTGGCCAAATAAATTTGGTTTTCTTCAAAGATGTGAGTCAAAGGAAACAAAAAATTTGGATCAAGAAAGGGTGTTCACATTGAGAGGTGTTCAGATATACAGGTTTCACTGTAATATAAAAAATGTAAACAATTCTAATGTGCTACTGAGAATGCTTTACCTTTAATAATGTTAATAATCTGTACATTTGTAACAGATGGAGTCAACATTCCTGATGCAAGGCCTTCATATGAAACTCAGTCCATTCTTCCATCCAAACTCCACTGATCTGCATAGACATGAAAATGAGTTCAAAGTAGGTTTTAATTGGTAGAATATAACAAACTTTTACAGATCTGATAAGGTTTTGGGCAAGCTTGGTAAATTACATGGTAAAACTTTTAAAATGAACTTTATAGGTCTAGATTACAAATTTTATAATAATTACGACTTTTCTGAGTCATTTTGAATGTTAGAACTAAGTTCCATTATTCAGCATTTTCTAGGTTTTCGAGATGGGTCAGTATGGTCTTGGAGAATCAATTCCAAATGAATGCATGTCATTTTATCTAATTTGAGTCTAAAATGGTCAGCAGATTATTGAGTCACAAAAGACGAAAGGCTTAAAGCTTAGCCTTGAGCAAAAATAAATTGAAGTTTAATTTATCATGTTACTGGATTCCTTTGAAATTCCAGCTACACAGTTTCTTAAACACCATTATTTCATTTGTTATGTATGACCTGAAAAAATATAGATTTGTCAAGCAAAGAAAAGTCTGTCAGTATAAAAGTACATTTTTTATGTTTTGTGTTTATTACAGATCCCTGCGGCTTGGCTCTCTCTCATGGACGTCACATTTGTTCTTATTTTCATCCCAATATTTGATAGACTCATCTACCCAAAGTTGGACAAACACGGCTACACAATCTCAATGAGATCTCGCATCGCTTTAGGTAGCTTGCTCGATTATATTTTTGATGTAAACTGTACACTGTAAAGGCCATTTCTGTTTTTTTTGAATTTTGGAAAAATACATATTAAAATCTCATTTTGATGGAGAATTGAATTGGCATTTTAGTCGAAATTGACAAATTGCCAAACTAATATTAATATAAATGGCCAATCTATTCAAGCAATTTACACCCTTTTATTATGTCCCCACCACATAGTGTGGGGCCATATTGTCGGCCTAGGCGCGTTCGTCTGTCTGTCCGTCTGTCTGTCTGTCCGTCTGTCCGTACGTCCGGCAGTTTTCTCCAAAACCGCTACAGATATCACCTTCAAATTTTCAGGGATAACTTATGAGTGCATACAGATGTGGATGAAAAAAAATTAACTCGATACCTACTTCCTGTCGGCCATTTTGAAGTCAAATGCTAAAATCCTTGTCTGCAAACTTTAAGAAAAACTGCTTCACAGTTGCTTTTAAAACTTTAAAATCTTGTTCAGCTCACTTCATTCTAGATCTGATTAGGTTTTGGACCTGTTAGCTCAATCATGTCAGCCGTTTTGAATGTTTTAAGAAAAGTTAGCGCACGATAATACTTTGTATCATATTAAATGGTGTTTTCAGTTTTCATACTTTAACTATTTAGTAGCTTTATAAATGATTTCAGGTGTACTTTGTTGTAAAAGCCTATGTTATTGTTAACAGTAGTTATATGTGATAATTTTGTAAGAAGAAATCAGCAAAAACTAATAATCACTTTTTTATTGTCGGCCATTTTGGATTTTTCCGTCCTAAAATCTTGTCTGTAAAGTCTTGTCTACGCGTTTCAGGTGAACCGTTTGGTAGATCAATTTCAAATTTTCAGGGATGATTCTTAGTATGTAAATCTAGATCTGATTAGTTTTTGGGCATTCTGGGTAAATGTCAAGGCAGCCATTTTGGATTTTCCGTCCTAAAATCTTGTCTGTAAAGTCTTGTCTACGCATTTCCAGGTGAACCGTTTGGTAGATCAATTTCAAATTTTCAGGGATGATTTTTAGTATGAAAATCTAGATCTGATTAGTTTTTTGGCATTCTGGATAAATGTCAAGGCAGCCATTTTGGATTTTCCGTTTTAAAATCTTGCCCGTAAAGTCTTGTCTACGCGTTTTTAGGTGAACTGTTTGGTAGATCAATTTCAAATTTTCAGGTATGATTCTTAATATGAAAATCTAGATCTGATTAGTTTTTGGGCATTCTTGGTAAATGTCAAGGCAGCCATTTTGGATTTTGTGTCCTAAAATCTTGTTTGCAAAGTCTTGTCTACACATTTCCAGGTGAACCGTTTGGTAGATCAATTTCATATTTTCAGGGATGATTCTTAGTATGAAAATCTGGAACAGATTAGTTTTTTTGGCATTCTGGATAAATGTCAAGGCAGCCATTTTGGATTTTCTGTCCTCAAATATTGTCTGTAAAGTCTTGTTTACAGGTTTTCTGGTTAACTGTGTGACGGATCAATTTCAAAATTTCAGGGGTGGTTCTTAGTATGAAAATCTAGAACTGACTAATTTTTTTGCATTCTTGGTAAATTTTAAGGTGGCCATTTTGGATTTTCCGTCCTCAAATTGTGTCGGTAAAGTCTTGTCTACTCATTTTTAGGATACCATTTGACGGGATCACCCATAGGTGGGGACATTTTGTACACATTTGTGTTCTTGTATTGCTTTTGATTTCAAGAATTTATAATTTAGTCATTGGCATTTGGCAGCATATTTTGTAATTGTATTACTTAAAAATGTTGTAAATAAAAACAAATAACTCTTTCATATGATATTTTTTTTAATTATTTTAATACAGTTTCAAGCGTTGTGTGTCTTTGATCAGATTAAATTATTTTTCCATGTTAGGTATGTTATTAGCCACAGCAGCAGTATTGTTAGCAGGAGGACTAGAGACATATAGACTGGGCATTTACAACCAAAATGATGGAAGAAATTATTTTAACCAGTCCATTGGTAAGCTTTTAGGTTCAAAATCTCTTTTTATCCATCAAATTTAAGATGCACACAAACATTTGTTTCAAAGATAGGCTGGGGCATGAGGTCCCAGGGCCTTTAACGAAGGAGGATTTATTATTTATAATGTTCTGATTGATAATTGATTGATGTATTTTGTAAAATATTATGATTTGTATGTGAAAGTATATCGGAGTTTTTCGACATTTGGCAATTATTCAAATGAAATGACATTTTTGAAGACACACTTGTAATCATCCCACGTCAAAGCATGTGATTTAATTTCATCCTCCTATTTTGGGATGAATCCGATATTATTCAATTTTCCTTGATATCATATTTCTCAACCCACTGCAATAATAGATAGCTACTTTCATTTTTCTGATATTGATGTTGACTTGTAAATAGATATGATTAATCACTCAAAATCATATGATTTTTACTTATATTTATTTAGATACACATTTTTGGTATGAATCTCATCAATTTGGATATTTCTACATCGATATTCATGTATATTGTTTAAAATGGAGCTTTTGATTTTTTGCATAGGATGATAAACAGTTGTTACATTAAAGCAATTTAAATTATTATTTGATTATTATACACTTTATAACAGAATTGATGGTTGTTTCTAATCTACTCATTAATACTTGTTTTTTTTATTTAAATATGGCCTTTGTTTATTTTATCTTATCTTTATAGGGTACAATATTGTTGTCAACATTCTAGATGATGGGGGCATCTCACTTTCCTTGTCCCGTCTGATTAGGTTTCAGCGTGCTGAGTACATTTTCAGCCATTTTTGATGTTGGGTTCATACAACACTGTTTACCCTGTGCTTTTTGTCTTTTAGGTAACACATATTATCGTGCAGTGGATGTAAGTGTCCTTTGGCAGATTCCTCAGTACGCTCTTATAGGTCTGAGTGAAGTGTTTGCTGCAGTTGCAGGTAGGTATTCACATCTGCTTGCAGCTGTTGAGTAAAAACAGGGTGCAACTTGAGCAAAAACAGAGTGCAATGGAAGATGTTATCTTTAATTTTAACGCATTGTTGAACTCAATGGGAATAGATTATATGCATTTGGGACACTATCATTTAAATGAATTTGAGACACTATTTTATCATTTGCTTTTAAAAGTCCTGGTCAACAGAGTCCAGAGCTAGAGATACATCATCTCAAATGTTTTCACCAATGAAGCCCAGAGTGGTTTACCAAGAATGTCAACATGTCAAGTTTAATTGAAGTACCTGTTAAGTGGAACACCTCCAAGACAAACTGACTTAATGTTAAACAATTAAAACAAACCTCTATAAGTGGAACACCTCTCTCTTTTAGAGGTACCAAAAGTGTTCCACTTAGACAGGTTTTACTGTAATATCCTATAAGTATTAAACAACCAGTAATTCACATTTGTCCATGTTCTTTCAGGTTTGGAGTTTGCCTATTCCCATGCCCCAAAGTCCATGCAAGGTGTAATTATGGGTATTTTCTGGTTCTTCAATGGAGTTGGGAGCCTCCTCGGTACAGCAACAGTCTACGCTTTCAAAAACATTTTCTTTTGCAACTGGGACCAGGGTGATATTAATGGCAGCCATCTTGACTATTATTTTTACTTTCTGGGTGGTCTGCAATTCCTAGGAGTACTTGTGTTTTCCGTGATTTCATATAAGTTTGACATTGGTGTCGTTGATAAACGGCAAAGACAGAGAGCCAGTTTACAGCATATCAATGGACAGAATGGACACAGTAGAACTGGGTCGTTGTCTCAAAGTGTACAATCATCAAATAGTCGGAATAATAATGTCCGCAGTAGCCCTGCAAGATCTAACAGTACCATTGGATATCCTACAAATATTGCAGATAAATACAAAAGCAGCTCAACTTGATTAAATCATATATAATAGGGAGTTTAAGCTTGCATATAAACTTGAAACGCCAACCTATACGTATGACCAATCGCCCATTCAAATGCATCACTTAAATATTTTTCATCTTTAGGTTGTGAAAAGCATTGCAAGCTTAAACTCCCTAATATACAGGAAAAACTGTAGCTTGATCCCCTATATATGGACAGATCTTCCGCTTACACCATGTAATATACTTTTCAAACAGAACCATATTTTCACAGCTGAAATTACTGCTGGATGTAACCAATAAGCTGATAGATTCATATTTGAGTCAAATTATATAAATATTGTCATGGGGTATAACAAGCTACGTGCTTATGCAGGTCAAATGTTAAGTGTTATATTGTAGAGAAATATACTGAAATACCAGCGCAAGATATTTTTGAAATTTTAAACGCTATTAAAATGATATCTGTATAGTATGGGGTGTTCTCCATCGATCTTATGGATAATATTTTTTTAAATTTGGTGCCAATTTGTTTGCAACTAACTATATTTCAGTTCAAGCTCAAGTTGAGAACAGTGTTTTTTGAGATGTACTAATGCTGTTTTATTGGACCTTGTAAATATTTTTTAAAAATGTGTTTTAGTATCTATTCCAATCCTGAGACTTATCTTTGTTTGATCAGAATTGGGTTGGGTATGTGTGACCTGAGTATGCAAGTGAAGTCTGAGTGGAGTGTGGTCATTTTTTTAGTCATACTTATCGCATCTTTTAGCCATATTGTCATCCTCTTGTGCTTCTTGGCAGGAAGACATGGGGGCGGATTGGCAGGCCCAACATAAATCTTGTCATCAAAATTCCAGAAAACCACTTATCCGCTTGAAATTTTTACAGATTCAAGAGCAGATTAGAGCCAAGATCTGATTAGGTTTCGGGCAAGTTTTGTAAATTATATAATCTTGAAAGTGCAATATTTATCACTGTATATCTTGTTGTTTATACAAGCCAATGATGTGCTGATGAATTCAGGAATAAGTAGAACTATTTGCATGTAAAGTGTGTGTTTAATTATTTATGAATTGTATTCACTCAAAGATCACCATTAATTACAAATTATACTGCTGAGGCCTAGAAATAAGAAGTAAATATGTATTAAGATGAGTAGTTTTATTTAAAAAAGAATTATTTGATGACATTTGCACATATTCTAGACATGACTATAGCTGATAACCATGGATGAATGTTCGATATAACACAAGAAACGTGATTTTGAAATATTGTATTACTGCATCCTCAGGCTTCATGTATACTACATGTTGTATATGTCGTATATGCATTGCACATCAACATGTATTTAAGTACTGCATATTTGTATTGCGCATAATGTACAGTGCACCGCGTATTGGACAGCTTTGGGGCTAGCTATGCTCATGTAATATCGTAAAGTAATATACCAAAAGTATTGCAACTTGTACTATCATTCATTTAACACTTGAATAATTTTGTATGTTTATATCATTAGACAGCATTATATGAAAAATACAAATCACTATTTTCATGAATGTATTTGAGACTACTTTTGACCTATAGTAATGCTTGCATAGACGTTGGGCTATCTTTCCATTTTTGGAAATCGGTTGAGGTGGTTCATCATTTGGTAGATTCTTGAGGGATACTTTACATTATGGGGTATATGGGATTGTGGGGTATGTTGAATTGTGGGATATGTTGCATTATGGGGTATGTGGAGTTGTAAGATATGTTGCATTGTGATGTATATGGGTTTGTTGGGTATTTGGGATTATGGAATCATGGATAACTTCTGGGAATAACAAAACAATTTTACATCGAACAGCATTTGAGTCAAAACTGTAGTATAACTGTGACTATTACATCCCAATTGCAACTTAAAAAAAATCCACAAGTTGTCATATTACGAATGATACAAAAAGTGTTTCAAGCCCAACAATTTATTGCCATGGCAACAGACAATACCATAAAGAACAAGAAGATGTTTATATTGTTGTTTATTGGTCTGATTATGATGAGTAATGAGTGATTGAGACAGATACTCAATGACAGAGAATAGCATTTGTTTATCAAATCGTAAAAGGTTAGGGAACATATCAATTTAACAATATACCATAAAAGTGGATTGACCCCATCCCTACACCCCAATACGAAACTGATGATAAATTGACTCGTCATGAAATATGTGTCATATTCCTCTTTCTCTCTCTTGAAGGTAATGTGATTTGCTCATAATTTTTCTCGAATATAATAGTTACTGAATACATGTACGTCCCTTTTAATCCATTATATTTTGACAAGTTTATTTCAATGCAATTTGAATTAAAAATACGATATCAATCATTGAAAAGTCATAAATATTACAACAGTCAGAAACGTGTTGGGCTAAAATGAGCGAATGCCTCATTATACTAATCGTGACAACCTGAACACTTTTATAAAACCACCCTTAAAAAGATGTTGGCTGCCTAACTCCTCTGACGACTTTATCGAACACTAAATATGTGTGCGATGCGACATCTATTCAAACATTAAAGTCAATTTACAAGTAAATCACCAGTTGAATGTCGTTCAGCTGCAAGTACAAGTACGTATGTCAACATGAACTTGCAGTTCTTGAACTTGAAGCCTTAGGGTGAATGAAAGATGAGGAAATATCCCAGAATTCACATGTGAACCCATTTTCATGTAAAGATGACTCTCTTTCGGTTCTCCATGGCGATATAGGGTTCATCTATGAATACTGGGGTATCCCTCTTCTTGGTGAGAGCTAGACATTGGCAGGTTTCCATTAGTTTTTTCTATCAGATAAGATGCTATTTAAAATCGGACTCTTGAATCTCTGTTTTTCAATTAGAAAGGACAATATCATCTGATACGCATCGCATCTTCCTGTTTTAAGCAAAACTTTTATATGAAAGAAGAAACTAAAGAGGACAAGTATAACAACAACAGAAAAAACAAAGAAGAAGAAACTAAGATTTCCATTGATGTCCAATTTAAAGTATGGTGTGTTTTGATGGTGGATGATCCGTTGATGACACCTGAGCAAATCACAGCAGATTTATAATATAATTTATCCAGGCATTTTAAAGTTAAGGACTTTGCATAGCCATATAGTACCATAAAAGTCAAAATGTGCCAATATGCAAGAATTAAACATGCGTTGAAGATGTTTACCAATGAGTTTTTAGTGGTTAAGTAGCTTGTCAGTTTTGTTTGAGGTCGGAATAATGTGCGGTTCAAACGACAAATGTTGGTCAAAAGTAAAGCCAAGGTGATCATGTTTATTGACTTTAGGAATTATATCACCACCAAGTAACATTGGTGGAGTTTGTAACTCTGATTTTCTTTGGTCAAAAAAGTTAGTTCTGCACTTTTGCTGGCCTTAAATTGCAATCTCCATTTTTATGACCACTCCTAAATATTATCAAGGTCAGTCTGCAGTAGAGCCATCTTATTGTTTAGATAATCCTCTTTAAAGGATTGATAAATAGAAGTGTCATCAGCTAATAAGTAACATTTTAAGCTAATATTGTCGGTAATATCATTTATGTACAAAAGGAACAGTAAAGGGCCCAAAATAGACTCTTGAGGAACTCCTTTATACATTTATATGTATAATATAATTAATTAATTTATATGTTGTTCTTATCAGACCAGATAGATTCTTGTCCATCGATCACAACTCTCACTCTACGATTTTCCAGGTAAGATTTAATTAGAAAAACAGATATTTCCCCCAAACCATAACTTGCAAGCTTACTTAATAAATGAATGTGCGGCATTAAATCAAACGCAGCTGAAATATCTAGGAAAATACTTTTAACATTGTAACCATTATCTAAGCAATCTGTGAGATAGTCAATTAAGGTTAATCACATATATCAATTGACGCATTGTTTTTTTAAATCTTGAATAATTTTATTGATATGCTCCATTAGGTGTTGTTGAATAACAGTTGATGCATAGTTTATGATCGAGAGTCGAAACGGAGAGGAAACTTCGAAGAAAAGCCAGAGACTTTAAGTTGTCTGACGAGACGGACGTTTTATATTCGAGCTCAATTCAAAGTTGCTTATTTTTGAGTTAGAGAGTTTATTTGAGTTAGCGTAAAGACATGGGATCAACATGGACAATAAAAGTAAGTATTTTATAATTTAAATGTATTGGAACATTTTGGTCAGAAGAGTTAGCATCAGAGCACATTCGTTCATTGTTTGAAAGAACCTGAATTTAGAATACTTCTATCTCACTTGGATATTTTAAAAGAGGGTTTCTTCTATTTCACATACTTTTTAATCGAAATATTACTATAATATTACTAAAATAACTATTATTATAAGAGACAGCAAATAATTGAAAAATAAAAATAATTTAATTGTAAGATATTATGTGTATTTGCATGCTGATCAATTTGCAGTATTATTTAAGAAATATAGACCGAAGAGCAGGGGTAATATTGTCGAATACACCCCACAGGGCTAGGCACAAACGTTTTCTGGGTTCGAAAGCTTTTGTGCCTAGCCCTAAGGGTCAATAGGGCTGGTATTTGCAAGAAACTACGCCCGCCATAGGGACGCCTTACGGTGAACGTGCGTCGGCATTTAAAAGGCCGTCGGGCGATCGTCGTTTTTTCTGACTCCACAATTTCAAAATACGTCATTCGACTGCCGTAGCCGTACCAGGCTTATATGTATTTATTTATTTTTGTGTTGGCATCATGCTATGCAAAATAACATCCCAGCTACATTTAATTTTCGATCAGTGTAAATTATTTACTGCAAAAAGTGATTCCAAAATCATTGCTGTATTGTAAAATGAAACTTTCAATTTCAGTTTGGTTCAACTCTGGATCAAGTTCAGAACTTTAATTTTTACGAAGATTTCAGGAGCCCTCCATTATGGGAAATCATGTGCTTTCTATCAGTTTCTTTTTAGGTGAAAAAAGAAAGATGTAATTAATATCAGAATATGAGCCCTCTTTCTTTGAGAAGTGTGGATTTTTATTGTTGAATATAATCATTTTTATTTTCTTTAATTTCAGCTTTTCCTCGGGCTGTTGACGGCGTGGGCACTGCTTAACATAGTGGTCGGAGTTGGTACGTTACATCTTCGATTCTTTATGAGAGCACAGTAGACTCAACTGTGTTTATTTAACAGAACACCTGCAATCCTAATTACATTTTTTACTTATCGTTATAACAACGTATTTTAAACAGCATTGATGAAAAAACTTCATTTGAAATGTTTTAGATCTAGATCTTTAAACAAGTGTTTCCTCGAGTCAAATGAATGATTTATCCACAGGCGTAGCTAGTCTTGCCTCAAGATTGTGGACCTGAATCAAATCTAAACAACGCAGTTGTTAGTGTAGATAGTCCAGGGTCTTGAAGCAAGACGTTGGCGTTGCCAGGATTTTCCATGGTGGCCATGGGGTTTCTTTTTCGTTTTATAACGAATGGGGGGGGGGGGGGGGGTCGAAAGAATACCGAATAAAGTACAAGCGTCATTAAATAGAAACGTGCGATTCCTTTGTTTGCGCAAACGTGGGTTGTACCCGTCCGGTTGTTCGTTTTATAGCGAAAGGGGATTCGAGGTGAAGGTGTGTGCGTAGGGGTGGGAGGGAGGCTGAAGGTGGGGGTGGAGGGGGGGGGGTGAATAAGTTCCACGAACCCCCTTGCACTACGTCCATGTGATTAATGATGTAGGGGTGTATCCGGACATTTATACAAATGTCTTGATGCTGTTGTACGATTTAGAATATATTCTCTGTGCAGCATTATGTTTGAAATATTACATATTTTAAGTTTGGCAATTGTATTGTTGAAATACAGATATTTCATTCAATCGATAATGAATTGTTATGAAACCTGCTATGGTTCATCATGATGACATTATATTAAAATGTCATTTAATGTCAGTTTATTTATCATATCTGTTACCATGGTAACCATATTAAATATCAGTTTGCTCAACATCTGGTATAATACCCAAACTTATACTAATTATTTTACAACCTTGTATTTGTATTTTATTTTCATATGAAACAATAACAAGGATGTTAACAAAAGTAAAATTAATGAATCAATGGCTTTACTGTAAATCTATGATGCTACGTATATACGTGCTCTATCATGAACTTGAACTAACATATATTTCTGACCAAGGATGGTATATCATTATTACAATTCATCAATTCTTAGTCATATCAAAATTTCAGAGCAATAATGCCAATATAAATAAATGAATTATTACAATTTTAGATTAGTAATATTATTTTGGTACACCCTGTATTTGAATCATGTTTATTCTATGTCTCCACCACATAGTGTGGGGCCATATTGTCGGCCTAGGTGCGTCCGTCTGTCCGTATGTCCGCCTGTCTGTCTGTTTGTCCGTTTAGGTTAAAAGTGCAGATCTTAACTGTTTTTCGAAAAACCGTTTATGTAACTTAAGTGAGGAATTAAATCGACGATTCTGTTGTCTTCTGAACTATTTGTTTACAAATATGTACATTGTCTTAAAAATATGATACTGATACACGTTTGTGTTGAAAATGTCGTGAGAATTCTGCCTACAACGTGTGAAATAAGGAAGAAAAGAAAAGTCGTACCTTCGACGTTCCGACATTTTGTTACCAAAACGAACCGTTTCGGTAACCAGCGTAATCGAGTGGATCACCAGTGAGACAGATAAACATACATTATGTTACATTAAACCCACTAGGTAGCAACACAATAGAACGAGCTGTGGTTATATTAGAAAGTTGAAGAAACTCTTCATCCAAAATTGACTCCTGGTGATCATAAATTGTTGTTGTTGTTTTTTCTTTTTTTAAAAAAATTATTTATTATTTCCTAATGAAAGATACACGTATACAAATAACATAATACAATACTACGCAACAGGTTGTGTAACACTTACATTTTTCTAATTAATATTTCAAAGTTAAATAAAAACTCCAAGTTTGGATGGTCTCCCTTTTTTTATATTTGTTAACAACAAAATTATGTGCCACTGAAAAAACTAAATTAAATTAAATTGTTGTTAACTAATCTGCAAGGTCGACTCCAACTCCCAATATGCTCTTTTATTTGTGGGTACCATCTCAGGTTGGTTTATATACACTCCTGGCAGAATATATGGTAATGTGCATCCGATTAAATAAAAACGAACGTCAATATATTACATTGTTTTCTTTATTATCCCACAAGGAGAGAGTGAATGTGATGGACTCCCAGCTGAAAGGCAGTCACCAATTGACATAGAAACATCTGAAACTAAATGCTTGAAGTTGAGCCTTATATATATTCCAAAAAAGACATGCGAGGATGTACATCTAGTGAATGAAGGAGGTCATACTGGTAACTATACGATTATGTGTCGAACCGGCTGGTAGTGTTTTAGTTTACTTTATGATTGTATTTGACATGCAATATGTTAACTTTTAACACTTGTATAATAAAATTTAAATAATATAATTATTATAATAATAGTACTACATGTATACGGGTTGCTTTTTATAAAAGCACATTTTATTGGGCAAGCAGAGAAATAGAGTTTATAAATAATTTTATTAGCTCACGTGTTCATAATCGTTATAATTTTTAATTACGACAAACTACTAGTAATTTAGTCATAAATGAAACGCATGCGCACAGCCTTCCCCAAGTTGATTTGTTTGCGCCCATGAGTATTTTAAGAACTTGACTTTCAGCTCAACTGGAATTGGATAAATGCGATTATACTATTCTAGTGGGTCTTTTGGGTGCATATAGCGTACTTCAAGCCCATTTTCATTGGGGAGAGGACTCGACAAGAGGCTCAGAGCACACGATTGACGGACAACGATACCCAATGGAGGTACTAAATGCATTATTTTGTTATTTGGAAATATGTTATCAGCATGTTTGATATAACGCAGTGACAGCCCCCACCTACGATGGGCATCTCAAAAAGTTGCCAAGAAATTTTTAGGTCAAATATTTGGCCCTCCCACATAAAGTAAATTGTATAGGCACCATTAGTACCGAGTAGCCAAAAAACCTTTGAAACTCCACTGAAGTAGTTTTATGTGTCCTTTTTATGAACCTTCTCAGGGAGAATGTTTCAAAAATGTTTTAATTGATATTCCATATGTTTTTGGTTTTCGTAGATGCATATTGTAGCGAAGAAGAAGTTTGGTACTTCAACTTGTGCCGAGATTGCCGTCCTTGGCTTTTTCTTCGAGGTACATTTTTAGTATTAAGACAAGACCTGACCTTTCATTTTTCAGGGGGTAATTGATAGAAACTTCACAAAGTTTAAAATTTCCTAAACTTCATTCATGGGCGTAGTCAGGGAGAGTTTGAAATGTTTAGAATTTCCTACGTTCTCTTTATTGGGGACTCGCTTCGCTTGCAGTGATGCAAACCCAAAAATTCGCACCCCTTGACATTTGCTTGCTAGGTCCTATTCATTTTTCTCTCATGACGTAATGATTTTAGAAGGTTAACTGAATGTAGATTTACATAATAAAGGGTGGCTGTTAAAACTTTGCATTGTCTACCAGGGGCGTAGGAAGGTGTAAATTCAACACTACGCCAAAAATCCCGCCAAAAAATGATACAATTGTGTCAATATTCTATATCAAAACGCCTATTTTATGCTCGTAAAATGTCATTTTATGAAAACAGAGATTTTAAGCTTGCAATGTTTTTCACAACCTAAATGTGAACGGAAATACTAAAGCGATGCATTTGTATGGATAATTGGTCATACGTATAGGTTGGCGTTTCGATTTTATATGCAAGCTTTAAATCCCTGATACCTTTTTAATGTGCTTTAAAATGTTCGAATGATTTTCATCATTTAAAATCACCTTGGAAAGCCTATCTTTTAAATCTCGACACAAATCATTCTCACTTTGCTAATGCACCCTATGCAGACAGAGCCTGTGGGAAATATTGGGTGCGGAGCAAATGAGCGGAGGGTGCGGAGCTAACGGTCATTTTTGAATTTAAATTTGGGATATTTCTGAAACTAAGCCGTTTTGGGACTTCAAATATACCAAGATATGTGTATTTGACACCAAATATCAATACAATTGTGAAAATAGTAGCGCAATTCATTCTATAGCGACGCAGTGTGCCTTAAACCTTTCCCAGACCTATATATTTTGAAATTATCCTTTTAATACTGAGTCCCCAGCATTCATAAAAAATGGTGTTCAAGGTACACTATCTATACAAATTATTTTTGCATCTTGGAAGCCAGGCAGTATCTGTGTGATTTTATAAAAATTCGGAAATGTTTTTCAGATATGAGCCCCCTCTAAATATTGGGTGCGGAGGAGCTCCATAAACGTACCATAAAGAACATAGGAAATTTTTTATTCCTACTTTTCAACACTACGCACTGGCGTTTTGGCGTACTACGAACTATAGTTTCAAATATAGCATACAATCATCACATCTTTACATATATGTTTCTATTTTACAGGTTTTCAATATTTTGTATACATTACTATGTTTTTGTTCACTTATTTGCGTATTCATCGTACCCATGTACATATAGATAAGTGGCACAGACAATGCAGCATGGAATGACATAATTACAGGACTGAGCCTAATCAAAATGCCAGGTACAGTGTAAGACATTACTGTTAATAATCTTTCATATTATCTTATACTCGCTCAAAATCACTGTTGCTTTCTATATCCGCTTTTCATTTCGTTTAAACAGGCATCTGAGATCGGCGTTTGTAAAACATTGCTACAGTTTATGGTCGTTTGTAGAAACTTTAGTTATGTTCTATTATATAGTCCCTGATCTGATATCCAAAAGGGCTCTAGAAAAGGGGTTTTGTTGTCCGGTACTTTCCCACATAAAATGATTGTACCGTTTGAAAGAACAGACTTCCCTCATAAAGAAAACACATCTTATATTCATTGATAGAAACAGGGGCAAAAGGCACCAAAAAGGGGTTAGACAAGGTGGCATTCTGAAGTCTCATTTTCTTGTCATCACAATTCCAGGAAAACCACTAGATGGATTTACTTCAAATTTTCACAGATGTTACATAGTAAGAAGTTCTAGAGCTGATAACTTTCCGGCGGCCATCTTGCATTCTGGCGGCCATGTTGGATTTTTTAGATATATCTTGGCATCGCGATTCCAGAAAAAACACTTAACACTTTCTGGGCCACACTGCTACATGTATGTTTTAGGTACGATCTTGTTCACCATATGCTTTGTACTTTATACCACAAATATGATTTTGTGTTTATACTTTCCCACAAAAATGATTGTACTGTTTGATAGAACAGACTTCCCTTATAAAGAAAACAGATTTTATATTGATAAAAACAGGGGCAAAATGCACTAAAATGGGGTTACGCAAGGTTGCATTCTGAAGACAACTTTTCACTACTTCTTTATTTTATACAACATAAGTGCATATTTCGTTTATGGTATCAAATTATTTTTAAAACCTCGATATATTGATAGAAATGGGGGCGAAAGGCACTAGGTAAAGTGAGTTTACACAAGGTGGTATTCTAAAGACAACGTTTACTATGCTTCTGTAATAATTTGACATAAATGCATATCTTGTATGATATAATCTTCTATATTAATAGAAACATGGGAAACTGCCGCTTCAATGGGGTAACACAAAGTGATATTCTAAAATATAACCTTTTACTCTGTTTCTGTACTTTATACCACACAAATGCATTTTGTGTTTGACAACAATCAAATTTTTAGAATAAATAACTACATTACCTTTCATCAATAAAAAAGATTATTGAAAACGTCAAACATTTCTTTGAAATTCAACAATGCACAGTGATTTTTTAGAGTGTAATGTATGCTTAATTGGCATTGATCCGAGTACTAGTATATTACTCTCTTTTAAGCTCTTTTAAGAGAAAATATATGTATGTGGCCTATATGTATGGACAACTTTTCACTGTTCACCATGTCACGAGACCTTTATAAGTTCTAAAAAGTACAAACGCAGAGTAAACAAGGCACATGGTGAACAATATCGTACCTATAACATAGCAGTGTGGACTTGATGACACAGAAAGCAAGATGGCCGCCGAAAAGTTCTAGAACTTCTTACCATGTACCATGTGTAAAAATTTCAAGAAAATCAGTTAAGTTGTTTTCCTGGAATAACGATGACAAGATTTATCTAAAATCGTTCAAGATGGCTGCTAGAATGCAAAATGGCCATCGAAAAATTGATCAGCTGTAGAACTTCTTACCATGTATCATGTGTAAAATTAGAAGCAAATCTGTTAAGTGGTTTTTCTGGAATCACGATGACATGATTTATCTAAAAACTTCAAGATGGCTGCCAGAATGCAAGATGGCTACCGGAAAGTTGATCAGCTCTATAACTTCATACCATGTAACATGTGTGAAAATTTTAAGTAAAACTGTGAAGTGGTTCTCTTGGAATCACGATGACAAGATTTATCTAAAACTTCCAATATGGCCACCAGAATGCAAGATGGCCACCGAAAAGTTAATCAGCTCTAGAATTTCATACCATGTAACATGTGTGAAAATTTGAAGTAAATCTGCTAAGGTTTTTTTCTGGAATCACGATGACAAGATTTATCCAAAAACTTCCAAGATGGCCACCAGAATGCAAGATGGCCGCCAAAAAGTTAATCAGCTCTAGAACTTCTTACCATGTAACATGTGTGAAAATTTGAAGTAAATTCGTTTGGTTTTCCTGAAATCGCGATGACAAGATTTATCTTAAAACTTCCAAGATGGCCACCAGAATGCAAACTGGCCACCGGAAAACGAATGAGCTCTTGGACTTCGTACCATGTAACACTTGTGAAAATTTGAAGTAAATATGTTAAGAAATTTTCCTGGAATTGCGATGACAAGATTCATCTAAAAACTTTTTAGATGGTCACCAGAATGCAAGATGGCCACCGAAAAGTTAATCAGCTCTAAAACTTCTTACCATGTAACATGTGTGAAAATTTGAAGTAAATTCGTTTGGTTTTTCTGAAATCGCGATGACAAAATTTATCTTAAAACTTCCAAGATGGCCACCAGAATGCAAGATGGCCACAGGAAAACGAATGAGCTCTAGGACTTCTTACCATGTAACGTGTGTGCAAAGTTGAAGTAAATCTGTTCAGTGGTTTTCCTGGTATCGGGATGACAAGATTTATTAAAAAACTTTCAAGATAGCTTCCAAAATGCAAGATGGCCGCTGAAAAGTTATTCAGCGTTAGAACTTCTTACCATGTAACATGTGTGAAAATTTGAAGTAAATCCGTTTGGTTTTCCTGAAATCGTGATGACAAGATTTATCTTAAAACTTCCAAGATGGCCGCCAGAATTCAAAATGGCCATCGGAAACGAATGAGCTCTTGGACTTCTTACCATGTAACATGTGTGAACATTTGAAGTACATCTGTAAAGTGTTTTTTTTGAATCGCGATGACAATATTTATCTAAAAAAATTCCAAGATGGCCGCCAGAATGCAAGATGGCCGCCGGAAAGTTAATCAGCTCTAGAACTTCTTACCATTTAACATGTGTGACAATTTGAAGTAAATCCATCTGGTTGTTTTCCTGGAATCGTGATGGCAAGAAAATGAGATTTCAGAATGCCACCTTGTCTAACCCCATTTTGGTGCCTTTTGCCCCCGTTTCTATCAATATAAGAGGTGTTTTAATTTCTTAATGAGGGAAGTCTGTTCTATCAAACGGTACAATCATTTCATGTGGGGCAGTACCGGACAACAAAACTTGTATTCAGAGGGACCAGATCAGGGACTAATATGTTTTTCTTGAATTTACTATGAAAACATACAGACAAATGATTGCCATCTGACAATGTGTGCATATGTTGCAAGTGTTGAAAAAAGTTGATAAAATGAAAATTCTGAAATGTGTGATAATTATAGCACTTCAAAGCAAAATTGTATATAATAATGCATGGGCTCTCTTGAAAGCCCATGGTTAATGTACCTGATTTCAAATGTTTTTTTCATGAATAAAAATCAAAAAGTGTTGAAACATTTTGTCATGTTAACGCTGCGGTTTAAAATTGATTTTAGACGAGAAGACAACCATAAACAACTTTAACCTCCAAGATCTGTTGCCTAGTCATAAGTCTGAGTTCTATAGGTACTTCGGCTCACTGACCACTCCACCTTACACTCAGTTTGTTAAGTGGACAGTATTTAAGGAAACAATAAAGATATCGGAATCCCAGGTATTAATTAAGAAACCACTAGTACAGGGCGTTCAGTAAGTAAAGTTAATTTTGCTCTCAAACTTTTATTTTTTGTTATTTATCTTTCAAATTTTCAGTGAAGAAACAGTTGACATTTTTTTTAACTACCCTGAAAAATTAAATAAGATATGATGAATAATAGCAAAACAATGGTTGTCATAGTAACGTGAATACGGGTTCTGCGGAGCAATTTCTTACTTTAATAAAAATGTTATAATGCAATGAAATTGATTAAGATTAATGCTGCATATGTCTTTGTTTGCTATGGCTGAAAGTCACGACAAACATAACAACAACATACACAAATATGATACCATGGCAACAGTAGTCTATGACATCACAGACAGATGATACAACAGATGGAATGATCCAGAATGATCCATCAGACACTGCTCCATGACATCATCAAAATCATGGCTGCCAGGATTGCCAATGGAAGCAAAATGAACAATGAAATGAAACAACAATTGAGAAGTAGCATCAGATACAATGTGTTGCTAGGGAAATCCAAGCAGGATACCATTAGGGATATCCAAAAAGCATATGGGGACAGTGTGCCTAAGTACACAATCTACAAATGGTATCAGAAATTCCAAAAGGGGAGAAAAACAACAAGTGATGAGCCAAGGTCAGGGAGGCCAAAACTTCTAACCAAAGAGGCTAACATGAATCATTTGAGGCAATTGTTAGATGAAGACCGCAGTATAACTGTAAGTGAACTCTCAGAACTAACCAATATCAGCCTAGGATGGGTACATTATCTGATTCACAATTCTCTAAATATGTCCTTGGTGTCTGCGAAATGGGTACCAAAGAATCTGGCCGACGAGCAGCGTAGAAATCGCCTGGAAGATTCAGTTGCATTCTTGCGCCGTTACAAAGATGAGGGAGAGGACTTTCTAAACAATCTTCTCACTTGTGATGAAACTTTTGTTCGATACTTTGAGCCAAATAGTACAAGACAGAACAGTGCGTGGCGAACAAAGAACTCTCCAACACCCGTGGGGATCGTTGCAAAGCTAGCTCTTGGAGCATCAGCGGGGAAAGTCATGTTTATCATTTTTATAGACATCGAAGGTCCATTGTTGGCTCATGCCGTGCCAGAAGGGCAGACTGTTAACAAGAAATATTATGCCATGGTAATTACATTTTATGAAATATATCTTTCTAATAATTAGCTTGGTTTGAGTACTAGGTCTACCTCTAAAATAATACAAAGAAAACATTTTAACTTAAACATCAAATGATCAAATTCACATTTCATTTTCAGGTGCTGCGGCGCCATCTTGTGAACGCGATTCGCAAGAAGAGGCCCCATAGGACTCTCAACTCCTACATATTCCATCAAGATAATGCGCCATCGCATAGGTCGCAAATGGTGCAGGATACTATCCAGAAAACGCTGGAGATGGAGGTTCAAGGCCAGTCAGCGTATTCTCCTGACAAGGCACCGTGCGATTTTGGGGTATTTCCATGTTTGAAAAATGATCTGCGTGGTAAGATCCACGCAAATATCAATGAGCTTCAGAATGCTGTTCAACGTTCGCTGACAAAGAATTTTCCAGATGGCTTCCACAGGATATATCAGAAGTGGATAGAACGACATCAGCTGTGTGTGAAAGCTAAGGGGAACTACTTTGAACATGAAATAGAATGCTAACTTGAAAGTAGAAATGTGGAGTAGCCACAGAACTATGGTTGAAATATAGACAGGACAGAAACTAACGTTAACAAAATCTACTATGCTGTGAACTTATAAAATTGCTCCGCAGAACCCGTATTCGCGTTACTATGACAACCACCATTTTGCTGTTATTCATTATATCTTGATCATTTTTTCAGGATAGTTAGAAAAGTGTCTGATGCTTCTCCACTGAAAAAAGAGAGAGCAAAATTAGCTTTACTTACTGAACGCCCTGTATATATAATTAAAGCTTACTACATTCAAAAAATCATTTTAGCAACAAGCATATATTGGATAGCTTTCTCTCAATGTTCATATATTGTAAATATGTTCCTCAATCACGTCGAGCGAGGGCCGTGTGTGATTCCTGTCACACTTGGACAAGATCAAATGTGACACTGTATCAAATATGACATTGGAGGCGACATCGTCACAATGTAGAGGCAGCGGTTTAAAACCTGGCCGAGTTTGTTTATTTACTCAGTTACTATTTGGTTCCAGATTGCACAGTTCAGGACGTTACTGAGTGAACACGGAGACAACATTGTGGACAACTTTAGAGAAGTTCAACCCTTGAACGGAAGAACTGTAAACAAAAACTGGTGAGTCGATCGATCGAAACCCATGGACAGTTGGATTTTAAACATTTTCTTAGTTTTAACGTGTGTAAACATTTTTTGACCATGTTGGATTCTGTCGACCATACCCGCTCTACCTTTTTATGCATACCTTCAAAATAAAATATGAAATATTCTTCAAATCCCCCCATATTAGTTAACAGTAAAGAGCTAAACGAAAACGAATAGAAGTGAATTCTAGGGCTGCGATATAATCCTGGAAACCAGGTGTCAGAGTAAATATAATCTCCCTGAATATATGGTCCGGGGGACCATGGTGTCCTAGGGTGTGTGGTCCTAACCGGGCCATATTTTCTGTATTAGTCAACAATATAACCGAGGACTATACATACTGACGGACTATAAATACGTTATGTTATCTTTATTTTTAAATGTATAGATGTCGTACTATAGTAGTACTGTAATATATAATTATTTGATATGTTATCAATGAATTAAAACAATGCTTGCATCCAATCCCCCTTAGTATAGTGGTTAGAACAGTCTTCTGGCTGTTGCCTATGGTGTGGATCGACTCCCACTCTATACTGTTTTTTTCTTTATTATATTATACATAAAATGGAACTATTCGTTTCCTCGTTTTCATGAGATTAGTTTTAATATTAATGCACGTACAGGTGACCATAATTTCTAGTTAATTCTGTCCATGAGATTACGTATTCTTAATTTTCTAGATGTACATGTCCAAGCGGACTATATTTTCTGGTTCCCTCTGTCCCCGAAACAACTTATCCTTATTTTTCTAGTTACATACGTCCAGGGGGACTATGTCGTCTATTTACATTTGTCTGGAGACTATAAAAACTGGGCAGTATAGTCCCATTTGTAGTATATACATTTTAAATAACTTATATTAGAATATGTGAGCATATTGTCATGCATAATTGCACTCGATTCATTGACTTGAATCATTACTAGAGATATAACACCACGGAAATCATCACGCCCGTTTGATTTTTTTGTTTGTGAAAGAGTAAATTCCCTTGGTTTTGGGTGACATAGCAGTATTACGTGAACAGTCTTGTATGTCAATGAACTATTAATTATACACAGACTTCATTTATATACATATATATCCATGGACATTTATAACCAGAAAATATGGTCCGGTATGACTAGTTGGACATTTATAACCAGAAAATACAGTCTGGTGTAACTAGTTAGAGACCATAATTTGGTATTTAAAGTCCGCCCCGGACACCCAGTTCTAGCAAACGGACTAAAATATCTTAGGAAATATAGTCCATTTGCGCAGATTATTCCAACGAGTGCTTCTGGATATACCGGCGACTATACTTCATGATGCACTTTCAACAATCTCCGAGTTCACTGCATATAAGAACCACATATATCCATACCGTAAAATAAGAACCGCATATATCCATAGTGTAGAATGAGATCCACAAGTATCCATATTGTGAAATGAGAACCACATATATATATTGTAAAATAAGAACCGCATATATCCATAGTGTAGAATGAGAACCACAAGTATCCGTATTGTGAAATGAGAACCACATATATATATATTGTAAAATAAGAACCACATATATCCATAGTGCAGAATGAGAACCACAAGTATCCATATTGTGAAATGAGAACCACATATATATATATTGTAAAATAAGAACCACATATATCCATAGTGTAGAATGAGATCCACAAGTATCCATATTGTAAAATAAGAACCACATATATCCATAGTGTAGAATGAGATCCACAAGTATCCATATTGTAAAATAAGAACCACATATCCATAGTGCAGAATGAGAACCACAAGTATCCATATTGTGAAATGAGAACCACATATATATATATTGTAAAATAAGAACCACATATCCATAGTGCAGAATGAGAACCACAAGTATCCATATTGTGAAATGAGAACCACAAGTATCCATATTGTGAAATGAGAACCACATATATATATATTGTAAAATAAGAACCACATATATCCATAGTGTAGAATGAGAACCACAAGTATCCATATTGTGAAATGAGAACCACATATATATATATTGTAAAATAAGAACCACATATCCATAGTGCAGAATGAGAACCACAAGTATCCATATTGTGAAATGAGAACCACATATATATATTGTAAAATAAGAACCACATATATCCATAGTGCAGAATGAGAACCACAAGTATCCATATTGTGAAATGAGAACCACATATATATATATTGTAAAATGAGAACCACATATATTCATACTGTAAAATGAGAACCACATATCCATACTCACTGGTGATCCACTCGATTACGCTGGTTACCAAAACGAACCGTTTTGGTAACAAAATGTCGGAACATCCGGAAGGTACGATTTTTCTCGTTTCCTTATTTTACACGTTGCAGGCAGAATTCCCACGACATTTTTTATATCATACGTTTAGGAAAGTTTACATATTTGCGAACAAATAGTTCAGAAGACAACAGAATCGTCGATTTACTTCCTCACTTAAGTTACATAAACGGTTTGGGTTAAAAGTGCAGATCTTAACTGTTTTTCGAAAAACCGTTTATGTAACTTAAGTGAGGAAGTAAATCGACGATTCTGTTGTCCTCTGAGCTATTTTTTCGCAAACATGTACATTTTCTAAAACATATGATACTGATGCACGTTGTGAGAAAAAACGACGTGGGGATTCTGCCTACAACGCGTGAAATAAGGAAAAAGAAAAATCGTGCCTTCGACGCTCCGACATTTTGTTACCAAAACGGTTCGTTTTGGTAACCAGCGTAATCGAGTGGATCACCAGTGATACTGTAATATAAGAAGCACAGATGTCAACAATGTAATATAAGAACCCCATATATCCATACTTTAATATACACACATACAGTATATCCACTTTGTAATATTAAATCCACAGATATCCTTAATATGAGACCTACAGATATCAATGTTGTAATAATGAAACCAAAGATATCCATACTGTAATATCCCTCGGTCAGTTGCTCATTAGAAAAGTAAATAATATTACTTATCTTTTGTAGTTACATGCCGTATGAACAGTAACCATTGAACAGAAGAAAACAAAATGGCGCTATATGACTGCAGACGTCCATGACAACTTTATGTCTGACCGGAATATAGGAAATATTGAACACTTCAAACGTAATGAACATCTGGTATAAGGAAGAAGATATTGGGCACTTTACAATGTAATTGACATCGGATAATGAACAAATATTGGAGATTTCATAATGTAAGCGGCATCCAGTATAATGAGAAAAATATTGGAAACTTCACAACGTAATCAACATCAAAAAGATTTAACTGCATCATTTGTATACAGTGTTGAAAATGTAATAAAAATAATTTATGATATTTTTTATCTTGTTTCAATCAATATGATTTTACTTTAATTACCTTCATCGGAGGTCATGCTAAGCTTAAAATATAACGAAATCAGCATCAAATGTTTTACAATAACAGCATTATGTTTTATTTTTATATAACAAGTTTTGATAAATGAAATAAAGTAATATTTCAAAAGGATTATACTTATGTCTAGACTGGCATCCTTTGATCTTTTTAATTGAATATTTCGTTATGACTAAATCTAAATTCATAGCTGCAGTGAGGTTGGGTATGATGACTTTAAAGTTCAATCAAACAAAGCTCATGTTCAAGGAAAATTGTCTATATGCCACAATATAGAAGATTGTTCTCATACATGAATTCGAATTCGCCAATCAGAAATCGAGCATTCAACAATTGATTTATCCTATACTTAGCAGATATGCATTGGATGTTTAAGGAATCCTAACGTAATAATAACAAACGATAATTACAATGAAAACATGAATAGTTTATCTCAATTTAAAGTCCTCGACAATTTTTCTTTTTTAAAAACTCAACAGCTTTTAACATTTAGCAGAGTATGAATTTAATAGTTATCAAATAGAGCGAAAGCATATCCCGAGAATTCAAAAAAGTACCGAAAAAATTCCGGGGGATTGCTGATGATCACCTCAGATATCGATTATATTCCCGCATTTTATTTACCTATAACACTAGGAAGTATGCTGAATGAAGGAGAATATATAATCGCAAATGCCAAAGGGAAGGGTGACTAAAAACTTTAAAGAAATCCAACAAGAAAAGCAAACTGTAAGTGTAAATCTGTCATAAGAAAGGTAGACCCTATATATCCCAAAACCATGATCTAACGTGAAAAGAAACAATGTCTAACATCCCCCCCCTCCAATCGAGAACCAATATCACAATCCAGGACCAGAACACCAAGGGAAATTTCATTCATACTGAAGTCATTACAATACATGTTGAAGAAAAATTGAAAAATTGATAGCCAATACCCATAACATCAAAAATAGAACTCATAAAAGATAGAGTATTCAGTCTCAAATGATGTGGGATAGATAAAATCCAGTCTCGAAGTCCATAGGCAATTCAAAGGGTCAACATCCGTTCGCAAAGCCGTCATCATAATCCATAAAACACAACAATTCACAATGGTCATCAGGAGAAAACTATGGCTGGTTTCGATCCCTATTTCTCAACCATTAATGCCATCACCGGATCCACCTCAAAAGGTGCCAAGTGAAAAAATTGTGAGTTCATTGTCAATCTATTATATCATTCCTACATCCTTCAGTATCTCAAGTGGTAAAAATTGAAATTTCGAAATTAATGACTTGTACTTTTCAGCAAAGCCCAGAAAGGATTTCTTAAGTTTTTTACAAGTATAACCTTGACCTGACAGCTTGATCACTAAAATATGGTTAGGTGTCTTGATTTGAAATCTAGATATTTTGAACACGCCCTGCTATATCTAATAAGCTGGGATACATAAACCCCATATCACGGTGTCCGATACTACCCAATGTAAATCGTTCCGGACTTGTTTTTCATAACCATTTGGACTTGATTAATGGAAAAAAGTAGAGGTAGGTTTGTTTTGGTTATGAAATTGCTTTCACTTGACTTTATGTAAATATAATACAATTAGATAACTTACCATACTATATACCCTAACTACAGGCACCCGCAAACGCCTTTTTTGTCCGAACTGTTTGCTATAGTCTTGTTATTTCGGGATGTGGACGGTTCTGCCCGTGTTTTCACCTATTTTGATAGATAATCACCAGCCTGCCTTGTATCCAATGAATACACCGATTCATAATGAAAGTAGCCATATTGTGAACAAAATCATGATTTAAAATGGTTTAAATGAGTAGCAATTGTCGAAATAATATTTTTTTATATTTAACCATTTGGACGTGACCTAGATATTCCAGTTAATGATGTTGACTTGCTATTGGAACGTTTCTGACTTGTGTTATTTGAACGTTTCTGACTTGAAAAACACAATGAACCATTTTTAAGTGTGGAACAGCTCCATAAACTTGATAGATTTCCAACAAATCATCAGAGTGCATGAGGACAGTGGAAGAAGTTGTCTGAGTGATACTATCTAAATGATAATTAATTAAACGTATTAAGAGATACTTTTCAAGGTTGAATAGGGAATCATTACAGATACATGTTCTTTACTTGATACTTTCAAGGGGCAAGAATGCATGTAGAGAGAAAAGTTGATTTTTTACTTTTTCTTGTGTTTTGCCTCTTCGCTTTTTTAAAGACTTCACTCGTCGCTATTTTTAATTTGCCTATGAAAAATGTGAGCATAAGTTTGCCTCAAATAAGACTTTAAAACGCCCTTATTGGCTTTAAACTGACTTCCATGCTTATATTAATGCTAACCAAGAAGTCTAGTGAAAGTCGAGAAGAAATAATTAGTTTTAATCGTTATTTACTGTTGTAACGACCCTTGGGCACGCTAGTCGGGGAGCTGTAGTGTACCAAGCCAGATACTAGACTCGAAGGAGAATGTGCTAAATTCAACGCCCCGTATGGGAATCGAACCCAGGACCTCCCGCTCTCGAGTCAGACGTTCTACCCTTGAGCCATAAAGGTTAGCCACTACAGCTGAGACTGTAGTAGCGACTTGCTATCGAAGGTCATTACACTGTTTAAAATCTACTAGTTTGCCTCTAGATTGTTAACAACTTAATTTGTTAATTATTATTTGTATTTATTTTATACTTTGCCTCACAGCTACAAATATTGCCTCAAATTCTTTTTTAGACTCTCCCTTTAACTTCCAATGCACTAAATTATTTAATGGCCTAAATCCATAGATTTTACCTCTTTACGAGAGAGGTGTCCACTAAGACAGGATTTACTGTAAACCTACAGTAATAATTTGAGCCCCACATATATTTTGAAAGAATACAAAAACATACCAAATGCAACTTTTTCAAAAGAATAGACAAATTATTAAGCAACAGAACGTATGAATGCCGTAACAAGACAATTCCAAATCATTATTTTTATCACGTCGAAAGCATTAAGTGTACAATTCGCAGTCGTTCACCTTGTGATAACAAGACAAGTCCGTGTCAGAATAATGACCATTCGCCGTCGTTAACTCCACTTTGTTCATTTCGGACATTTATGGCAAATTGAAGGTACAGATACTTTAGATATTAATACGATCTTTAATGTAGTGGATAGTGTTCCACGATACGAAATGATTTTTTGTTTAAACCTGGTGAAATGACACTAATGGAGATTTAGAGCATATTTCTGGCACTTTTTGTTATCTAATGCCGATAAATATGATCTATGATGGCACGATCGCCAAAATAGATACGTGGGTATGAAAAAGAATGTCTTAGGTAGAAGTTAATGTATGTATTTTTCTAAACGATTGAATTGTATTATCTTTTTGAGCCATTCTGATGAATGTCTCATCTCATTCCCTTTCAAAATGAGTCCAAATGGTTATGAAAAATAAGTGAAAAACAAGTCCGGAACGATTTACGTTGGGTAGTATCGGGGACCGTGCATATGCTGGGTTTAGTGGAATGGAAAATTAACAATGTCAAAATTAAAGTCATCTCTTTTGTCATCAATGTTAATGAGAAGGTGCACTCATATCAGATTCATTTGTCGTTGTCAATTCTAGCTCAGTCTGATATATCTCACCTACAAAGTCTTTAAATTTTGGGTTGTCTAACCTTAACAAGTCATCAATATATCGATCTGTCTTATTAAATAACTTTGCAATATGAAATTAACTTTTATCTTTCATAATCCTTTGTAAAAATTTATACTCATACGAGAATAGAAAAAGGCTGCTAAAAGAGGAGCACAATCTGTACCCATTGGTATACCTACATTCTGACGCAAAACTGTATTTCCAAACTTAACAAATATATAATTATCAATAAGAAAGCCTAACACTTCACAGAATTGTACTGCAGTGAGAGAAATATACTTATATTGTTCACTAGAAAAGAAAGCCCTATTTGAATTGCAGTTAACATATTTAAATTTACTACTCGTCATTGTCTTTTTTAATGATTCCAAATATTTCGTATTTTAACTTGTCATGAGGAATTGATGTGTAAAGTGTAGAAAAATCCCACGTTGAAATACATTTAACTTTTGAATAAATTGGGTCATTAAATTTTGTTAAAAGGAGAAAGTTCAGACATCCCTCACCAGGTGGCAGTAAAGGCAATATTGTTGAAGATAGGTAAGTTGCGAAATGGGTCCTCTTGAAAGCCCATGGTAACGAGTATGCTAACAATATTTCATTGTTTACTCTTGTTTTTAGTTCTAATGCGGATTATCTGCCATTACACATTTTGCTTGTTCAGATCATATTGGTTCTACTGTTATTTCTGTGGAAATTTGTCAATTTGATCGGGATCTTTGGAAACAGAAACCAAGTAATAATTGAAGAATGTTTAAATGGAGTTGCATACATTAAGTATTGTATTGTTTTGTATTGTATTGTATTGTATTGTATTGTATTGTATTGTGTATTGCATTGTACTGTATTTTACGGTATTGTATTGTATTGCATTGTATTGTAGGGTATTGTATTGTGTATTGTATTGTACTGTACTGTATTGTATTGTTTTATTTTATATTGTATTGTGTTGTATTGTATTGCATTCGGTTCAATTGCATTGCAATGGGTTCCTTTTTCATCCATGGATTGTCGCTGTTAAGCAGTTATGACAGATCAATGTATAGTATCCTTGAGTGAATGAACTTACAATGTTACATTCGCAGTATTCTGCTCAGTATAGGATGACACAAGCGTCATGTCAAGAATCGTGTAGAACATAACAGATGGTTCAATTTAATCCCACACTTGTGAATTACCCTAAATTCAATGGTTTCATTGCATATCATGTAACCATCATTTCAACCTTGAAGATCAATGGAAAAACCATCATTTCAACCATTAAAAACCATTGCGCAAACATTACTTCACCCAATCTTTTCAACCCTTTTTACATAAAGTTACAATGGTTACGCAATCATTTTGAGAAACTATTGCAAAACAATTACAACCATTACCCATTGAAATAAACAGTCACAACTGATTGCAATCGTTGATGGGGAACTGCAACTATTGCAACCATTATTTTAGTTAACCAGTTTACATAATGTGAATGATTTTTCAATGATTAATAAATGATCACTACACTGTAACTTTAGCTCATCCGCTAAAGTCAAAGTTCTCCCTTTTCGTTAATAGGCCCACTGGGTGTTTATTTGAAAGAACTCAAAATAAACACCCATGGGCCATTTTAAGAGGGAAGAAAATATAAAGTATATTAAGAGCTTTCCCAAGCCAGAGGGCATACAAATGTATAAGGCCAACAATTTATTGCCACGGCATTATGCAATGTCTAAAACATATTGATATAAATGTGAATGTGCGTAAACTGCGACGTCGTTGCCCCTTGAACTAACATAATGAGAACTTTACATTGTAGAATACAATGAGTGACTGAGTTCGAAATACTCAATGACAAAGACATATATATTGTATTTCTCCAATTGTCTAAGGAAACATATCAATATAACGATGTACTGGTAAACACAATTTCATTTTGGGTTGACCCCATCCTTCTATTCAAAAACAAAAATGATGATAAATAACTGTCTTTCGTCATGAAAAAGGTAATATCATAAATGCTCTCCCTCTTCTCCCTAAATGTATATTGGAAGGTGATTTACTCATACTTTTTTCCTCGGCAATAATACTTGATACGCCCCTTCATAATCCATTAGATTTGACACTAAGTTTATTTCAATGATATTTAAACTAAAAATACATGGTACTGTTGAATATTGATTAACTGTGGGTATACCGATATGAAATTGCGCTTCTTGAACTTGGCACGTTGAGATTAAGGTAAGAAGATGAAATACTAGCTCAGACTGCATAGGTGAATCATGCAAAGATAACCTCAATCGGTTTCCATGGTTCTTCTATGAATTCTGGGACAGCCCTCTTTCACGAAGGCTAGGCATTGACAGGTTGAAGGATTTACACTAGAACCCTAAGACGTCTTTGCTAAAACGTTTTTGCGTTAAAACGTTTTAGAAATGTAATGTAAATCCAGATTTTCTCAAGAGCTCTCGGCTAAGAGCGCTTGGCTAAAACGTTTTAGGACCCTAATCATAGCCAAGACGTCTTCATAGCGTTAAAGTGTGCGCCAAAGTTTAAAACTGCACAGGCGCACCGCTCTCGCTAAAGGCCCGGTCACACCGCCTAAGCGTTGCTGGAGCGTTCCTTGAACGTTGAAAAAAATCATCAACGCTCGTAAACGTTCACCACCGTTTAACAAAAGTTGGCATCCGTTAAAGCAACGCTGTAAACGCTCGGCCAACGCGGATGTTTCTCGAGTGGCCATCCTAACGCTCCAAAAGTTTTGAGCTGCTCAAAATATTGCGAGCGTTGAAAAAGGGACAATTTTACGCCCTGGCAAAGTTTATCACCGCTCCACCAACGCCCAGTCAAAGTTTGGCACCGCTAGACGCAAGTTCGTGGACGCTTGAATCCGCTAGACCAACGCAGAAATCTTAAACGCTGGACCACCGCTGCTTCGCCAGCGTTGCCCGGGCGGCGATTAAACGTTGCACAAACGTCGGTGGAGCGTTTTATCAGCGTACATGGGGTTGTTGGAACGGTGTCGGACGTTGTCGCAGCGTTCCATGGCGGCGATGAACTTTGCTTTGGCGTTGGTATAGAGGTGTCGGAGCGGGACCAGAATTTGGCTATAAATACGTGGAGAAATGCACCACTGTGTAGAACACTGTGGAGACACTTGTGCATTTTACATTTGATATATATTCATGTCTGGCATTTCAATTTTTTGCATTGTAAATTCCTAAATTAAGCGCTCAAAGTTTGTGATTTTGGATTTTAAAAAGGTGAATTATGCGATTTTTGGTTTTCATTAAATGTTAATACAAATAGACTTTTACTGAGACCTTTATTCAAATATAGTATATACCTAGTGTTTTCACGTCAAGCAATTCAATAAATTATCTGTGAATTTTCTGCGCAGCTTGTAAAATGTTGCACTCGTTACATGGTATTATACAAAAAGTTGATGCGCGCACAGCAATGCAAAAATTTGTCATGCGTCATGATTATTACTTTGCTGTAAATGTTATTTGACATTGTTAAAGCAATTTGAACGTAAATCGGTTCCAAGTAATGGAAATGCAACGATTAAATTGTGATATGTTTGTTTAAAATGATATGAGAGATTATTAAAGAAAATTGTAATGTTATTCATTCTTAATGGCATATTACATTAATAGAAGCACTTTAGATTTAAAACATTTCTTCTTTAATCCTTGAAGGACTTTTGTTAAAGTTACAAATTCCAATAAAGGTCTTTACTCTTAAACACTTCCCACTTGAAATAATTTCCCAGTAGTCAAACGCGATATGCTGCTAAACCAACGCTGCTGCTATTTATACCCCCGCCGAGGCAACGCTCACATGCGCAGAACGCCGCTATACCAACGCTCGCATTACCGCTAAACAAACGCTAGCTACCGCTCGCAACCGTTTAACCAACGCTAAAGCAACGCCGGCTTCAGCGGTGCACCGCTAAGCCAACGCCCGTGTTTTTGTTTTTTTTCCCCCATTTTGTGCGCGTTGACGAGCGTTGATGAATTTTTTCAACGTTCAAGGAACGCTCCAGCAACGTCCGGGCGGTGTGACCGGGCCTTAAGGGAAATATTATTAATGACTTAAATCGTTTACAGTTAAGTTGTATTCCAAGAAACTTATCAATTTAGAAATGCAAATTGTTCAATTTTGTTTTTCAATTATAAAAAATGGCACCTGTTGAGAACAACGTTTTCAAATTTTTTTAAAACGGAGATATTTACTTATGCAACATTCATTGGCATGTGTCAGGGAATAAATAGGAAGAATATGCATTCGATTCTATATCTTGTTCCTGAAGGAGTTTGTTAAGGAGCGATATATCTTAACGTACTTTTATCATCCAGAACTCAAACATTTCGAATACTTATTTCGAGAACGCTTTGTTGAGAATGGATTCGAGATGTACTCAAAAATAGTGCGTTGAAATGTGTATTATCATCTAAATAACCACCTCACAAATTATTTTGGAAATCAAAGATGTACGCTTTTTGAGTTTTTTATTTTCGAATGTTGACTTACTTACTTGGCTTGACTGATACATCAATACTGTAAAATGAAAACAACATAAATATCCATACTTAATATGAGGCACACAGATATCCATATTGTAATATTAAGACCACATATATCCATACTTTAATATGAGACCCACAGATATCCATACTTTAATATTAAAACGACAGATAGTCATAATGTAATATTCCTCGGTCAGTTGCTTGTCAAAAATGCAAATATCATATTTATCTTTTTTAGTTAAAAAGTAATCATTGAACAGAAGAAACAAAATGGCGCTGTATGACTTCAGACGTCAATGAGAACTTTATATATATATATATATATGATTGGAACAAGGAGGATTGGCTCCCAGGATCGAAACTCGATATTTTCCAACAATGAAAACGTCGAAATGTCGTTATTTTCTGAAATTAAAACCGACTATAAATTCAAAATAAACAGTTCAAAAGATTCGAACCAATATCTCGATCATTTCTTGTGAGTTTTGGAATTTTTCGTTTGGAAATAAGACCAAAATTCACGATTTAAATGTTGAAGTGAACAAAATGGCGGCTGTTTGAATTCGAATTTTGTATTACGACATACCCATATATGGGACAGAATATCGGTGGTGCACTCTGGGAGCCAATCCTCCTTGTGATTGGAATGAGAAATATATTGGACCCTTCATAACGTAATAAACATCCAGTATAATGAGGAAAATATTGGAGACGTCACAACATTATGTATACAAGGAGTAACAACTACACACGTTATGACGTCACAGGAAATATTTTTTTATGTTCTCAAACATAATTTGTGTTGGATAAAAGTTGAATAAAAATTGATGAAAATGTCAGTAATTGTGTTTTTATATAGTGTAGGACTGCAGATATGATATGAGAACATTTATCTTATTTAAAAGCGTTTATTATCAATGATTCCAAGCCCTCTGAAGTTTGAAATATAAAAATACCAGTCGTTTTGTTCTGTATTTAAGTAACGAAATAGTTACTAACTTTTGAGAAATGCAAGTTTATTGTAAGTCCTGCAATCTAGACTAAGTCTTACTAATTTGCAACTTTACTTATTTTCGAGAAATAAACCACTTGAGTCTGATAAAACGATAAGAATAAAATGAAACATGGTAAAAACAATATACTTAATTGAATAACAATTATAGTTATAATAAGGTGTGCATTGCCATTCAAAGTAAAGACACAGCTTTTGGAAATAAAAATGTACTGCTATGTACAGCATATACACGTGAATAGAACAATATAGACCCTTGTTTCAGTGGCAAATTAAGAAATCAGCCAAGGGCTATACAATCATCAACAATTAATTAATAGATACTCTCCTAACTGTTTTTGTATCTGATTGGTGATGATTGTTTCGCTGGATCTGGCATATGGCGCTGTAAAACAAGCCCAAGTGCTACGGTTACAGAAACGGATCAAAAACTTCCAAAAATTAGTCAGAAGCGTTTCAGCTACCCGAAAAGGTGGACGTTTCATTTTCGAGCTCAATTCAAAGTTGCTAATTTTCGAGTTAGAGATTTTGGATAGAGACATGGAATCAATCTGGACAATAAAAGTAAGTTTTTCAGCTTTATTTATCTTATACCAATCGACGATTCTGACGATTCTGATAATTATAGCATTGATTAAGATGTTATATTTCCGACATTTAATTTCCCTAAACTAAGTTTAATCCGAAAAGTAGGAAACATAATTTCTCGGGAAATTAATCACTTATACAGTACATTATTTACTCTTACATTAAATTGTATTTGAATACCTTTTAGTAAGATAAGTTGCATGTAACGTCAGAGCTGAGTAAAGTAAAGTAAAGTTCCCAGTTTGTCAAGACCGAGAGATACAATGTATATGTATTGCTTTAATTTAGAATGACTCTTACTATGATATTTTGATCTTTTTTTCTGATAAACTTCGATTTGGATTTTAGACTAACTCCTATTTAAAGTAAATAGTTTATATTAAGGTCAGTAGTAATTATTTTTTTCTCACAGTTGAAATCGTTCTCATTTCAACCCTTCATTGTAACACTCATGGTACAATTTCTGAGGCCCTCTTTTTAACTCGGGAGTTTTTATTTTTGATTATTTTAATAATTATCGTCTTTTCTTTCAGCTTTTCCTCGGGCTATTGGCGGCTTGGTCATTGCTTTACATTGCGGCTGAAGCTGGTAAGTTACAATATATCCGCCGATGCGACGCGACAAAGGATGTTTCTTTCACGAATATGACCGAAGCTTCTTCATGAAACCAATCAAATTCCTCGAAGGGCTAGGATAAGATATTTGGCCATGCTCGGAAAATCGTAACACCCGCTTTGTAACTGGTTTCTTGAATTTACAACAGCGTTAAGTCAAATTGTATGAATATGATTTATCCATCGTAATTATCATTATCATTGAAAAGAACATTAGCGCTGCATTCTGTTATTGTCGTAGGGTCGGAGGCGTATGCGTGTAAATTTAGTTGAAGAGTTAAACTTCTAATACATTCTGACTATCGTTATGATAATGTTTTTAAACACTATTGCATCTAATAAATCCATTTGAAATGTTTAGACAATCAATAATGTACTATTATTATTGCTTACATAATATCTCACATTAGCTACATTTTGACAATTTATGGATTTATCATTGTTTATATCATAAAAAAGTTCTACAGACCAATGTCCTGTTTAAGAACCCCTTTTCTTACTTTTTGAAATTGATTCTATCGATACTCTCCTACGTGAACCTACTTGTTGGAACTCGATCAACTCGAGTTCTTCTGAGAAGATGAGGATTTCGAGAAGGGTACCATTGACTAATATGGGGTTGCAATTAACTTTAATCCTCTGTAGATATAAAAAATTGATAGCCAAAACTCATAACATCAAAAATAGTTAATACTAGGATTCGAAATCTCGAAAATTAATTAAAAACTTCTACTCTTGAGCAAAGCCCAGACAATAGAAAAAATAGAGAGAGAGGCAATGAAAAGTGAGACACAAACGGGTCTCTGTTACTAATTACACGATCAGTTGAACGACAGACCCTTGCATAAGACATAATTATTTGCCGACTTGAAGTTGTCTTTTAAAAAGTATGGAGGTACATGGACTCGAATTTTTAGCCTACTGGGAATAATTTTTTATTTCATACTCATTTGTAGGCTATGTCAGTAGCAGTAGCAGCAGTATTAGAAGTAGAAGAAGCAATAGCAGACGCAGATACAGTTACGTTATCAGATATGGAAGTGCGTACTTAGCATTAACTAGGATTCCATGCTTCAATGTCATTTTGATCATACTTGTAATTATATATAAATTAATCTAGTTTTAAAAAAAATTAGGAGCTGTAATCATAAGTCCATTCCAGCACCTATTATGCTCTTTTAAAATTTACGTCCGATTTAATAAAAACGGACACAATATATAATGTTTTCTTTATTTTCTTACAAGGAGAGAGGCAATGTTATGGACTCCCAGCTGAAAGACAGTCGCCCATTGACATAGAGACCTCTGCAACTAAATGTTTGTGGAAGTTGGGCCGTATGTATATTCCAAAATATACATGCAAGGATGTACATCTAGTTAATGATGGAGGTCATACTGGTAAAGATATAGTTTACTATAAATACAACTCATGTTTTATTGCTCATGCAGAAAAAAAGATATTTTAATTATGACGAACTAGACATAAATGAAGTGCAAAACCCTCTCCGTGAAGATTTGTTTGCGCCCAAATGAATTTTTTTGAACTTAACCTTCAGCTCAACTGGAACTGGATAAATGTGATTACACAATACAAGGGGGACCTCTTGTTGGTCAATATAGTGTACTTCAAGCCCATTTTCATTGGGGAGAGGAATCGACAAGAGGCTCAGAGCACACACTTGACGGACAACGATACCCAATGGAGGTACTATATGCATTATATTGTTATTTTGAAATGTGCTACTAGCCTGTCTTATGCTGTGGTAGTCACTCCCTATGAGGGACTTCTCAAAAAATGTTGCAAATACATTATGGCTAAATGTGACCCTCCCCATACAGTTGATGTGTACACACTTTTAGTCCAGAGTAGCCAAAAACCTTGGAACTCAAGGAAGGTTATGTCATGTCTATGAACTTTTCTTGAAAGGCTTACGTTTTATATTTAACATTCCATATGTTATTTTTCGCATAGGTGCATATTGTAACAAAGATGAGGCGGGGTAATTCCTCTTGTGCTGAGCTTGCCGTCCTTGGCTTTTTCTTCCAGGTACATTGTAAACTTCACAAATGTACCAAAACTCAATTGTAATAATGGTTCTATCATGACGTGATTAATTTAGAACATCGACTGAAAGTAGATTGTTATAATACAGCGTGGAACCTTGCATTGTTTCAGAAGTATGGTATTTGAACATCGTTTCTTCAGTCATCACTGCCATTTATGCTTTTGTTACTTAATATGATTATTTATCTTATAGATAAGTTATACAGATAATCGAGCATGGAATGACATCATTATGGGACTTGGTGAAATCACTAACCCAGGTGAGACATTACTAGTTAAGGTCATTTATCATATATATATTACACTCAATCAAAGTACGATTACATTTCTATACGCTTTCATTTCGTTGAAACTGGTTTGGCGTTTGAAAGTAATTGTTACATTTTATAATCATTTTTTAAGACGTGTAGTTAATATTTAATTTGCTTTTCTTGCCTTTCCTATGGATGTATACTGACAAACAAATTCACATCAAATAATGTGTGCATATTAGTGTTTTGTCCTGTTAACGTCTCATTAATGCTGTGATTTTCATTGATTTTAGACGAGGAGACGATTCTTGACAACATTAACCTCCAGAAACTCTTGCCTCGTAATAGGTTTAAGTACTATAGCTACTTTGGCTCACTGACCACACCGCCATTTTCTCAGATTGTTAAATGGACAGTATTTGAGGAAACAATAAAGATATCGGAAATGCAGGTAACAAGAAACTATACGGAAAGACTCTATTAGATTCAAAAATCATTTCAGAAAAAACAGAAAAAATATTCGATATAGGGTCCTTTATTTTTAATGTTTATTCTCTACGTTCCACAGCTGCAGTTGAGAAACTGGTATTTGAATAGTACCATAGAGTGTACGATGTGTACATTTGCTCATATGTGAATGTGGTTAGAATGTGAATTTTGTAGTACGCCTTAGTTCATGGAGTTTAATATGTTATTTGATTTTCATTATGTTTCTCAATGACATCGAGCGAGGGCCGTGATTCCTGTCACACTTGAACAAGATCTGTCACATTTTTTGTCACACTTGGACAAGACCAACTATTATCATTGTAGGTAATATCGTTACAAACTACAGGCAGTAGGTTGAAATCAGCAGACAACTCGATGAGTTTATTCATTTAATATTTCGTTCCAGATTGCACAGTTCAGAACATTGCTGAATGAAGAGGGAGACAACATTGTTGACAATTTTAGACCAGTTCAACCCTTGAACGGAAGGTCTGTGTACCAAAGCTGGTAAGTCTATACAAACCAAACTACAGTTGCATTTCAAACAATAACATACTGTCAGGAATACCCGAATCCTCTCAGCATACTATTAAAATAAATTATTATGGAATAGTCTCAAAATTCCCCTTCGTTAGTTTACTGATAGATAAAATAAGGCCCCCAACGAAAATAAGTAAACGAAGAAGACATATTTCGTACATTACACATTTGAGAACAATGATTTTAAAGTGTTCTTGGTGAACCAATGTGCGTGTTGATTCATAGTTGTGCATTTATAAAACAGAAAAGATAAGAAAATACATCAAATGAACTATTCAGTCTTAGGGAGTCCACATCGAGAATTCTTCATGCACTTTCAACAATATCCAAATTCACTTCATATAATAAACAATACAGTGTTTATCAAAAAAAACGCAACAGATCTCGAAAAAGCATGAAACCAGTGATAACAGCATTGATTTCATTCAATGCACCATAAAGCCACGTGTCTCTTCTTTACAATGATATATCATTCATTGATATTTGGTTATGGTTGGGCGAGTAATCATTCCATTTGCCAAGTGGGCCAAAATTAGCTTGGGACAAAGTTATAAACATCGCAAAAGTCAGTGTACGGAGCCCGATGCAATATTGGAAGAAAACATAAAACCAATGATGACTGCATCCTTTTCATTCAATGTACCAAAAAGCCAAATTACTCCTCTTTGCAATGGAATATCATTCATTCACAGGGAGACATGACTGGCCGAATAATCATTAATTTTGCAAAGTGGGGCAAAATTTAACTCTGACCCGAGTTTTAAACATTGCAAAAGTCAGTATACGTACAAGGGGCATAGGGGATATTGGAAGAAGGTGTGACAGGTGTTGCATAGACATTTAAGTGTTCATACTCATACTCTCGCAAGAATACATCCTATACCCCTCCAAATTGCCACCACTTCCTTGCACATAAAGATGTGCTCACCTGTCCACGTCATGCATGGTTCAGCCCTGAGCCATTTGTGGGTTAAAGCAGAGAAAAGCAGCCCATGGGCAATACTTTCTCGAGGTTTTGCAATATCTGGTGGATGAATTTTGAACACAGATGCTCCTGAGATAGCGCCAAAAGAAAAAGTCACAACAATTCAAGTCAGGGGAACTTCCATTGGTTTAGCCCTTGCACTGATTTATGCAATATCTAAAACTTGGTCCAGAGCAGATTTTGACCCACTGTGCAAATGGAAGAATTTCTCACCCAACCATTACTACATGTGAATGGATGACATATCATTGCAAAGAAGAGAGGCGTGACTTTTTGGTACATTGAATGAAGTTGATGTAATCATCACTTGTTTTGTGATTTTACGAGATTTTTGAGAGTTTTTTTGATACGCCCTGTATATCTATACTGCAAAATGAGAAGCACAGACATTAATACTTTAACATGAGAACTATATAATTATATCCATGCATAAAAGAGAATCACTTATATCCTCACTGTAAAATGAGAACCACATGAATCCCTACTCTAATATGAGACCCAAAATATCTTTATTGTAATATTAAAACCACAGATATCCTAATACTGTTATATCTTATTAGAACTGCAAATATCATACTTTTTTTATAGTTAAACAATGACCATTGAAGAAAGCAAAATGACATAACGTGACTCCAGACGCCCATGACTGGGAAGAGGAAAATATTGGACACTTGAAAACGTAAACAACATCTGGCATAATGAAGAAAAAATTGGAGACTTCACAACGTCATCAACATCCAGTATAATGAAATAAGATATATTGGACAATTTACAACGTAATCGACATCCAGTAAAATGAAATATTAAATATTGAACAATCCACTACATAATCAACATCCGGTGAAATGAGGAAAACACTGGATCCTTCTAAACGTAATCAACATCCGGTATACAAGAAGTAACTACTGTACATTTTATGACGTCATGGGAAATACAGGGTGGTTCAGAAATTGAACCTTTGCAACAAGCTATATTTCAGTTATTCTCCGCATTATTGGGCTGATATTCTGTTTTAGAGCTAGGTCAAACGTTTCGTTCATATATTGCAGGTACCACCAGTATATCCCTGCTACTTGACACTTCAAATGAGATCTTCCAATGTCTTCCAGTGTCTGATTGAAAATTTGGGCTCTAAATAGTAAGAAAATGGGACACGAATTTGCCCACTGGGGTACATACTTTGTACTATTGTTCAAATTCTATAGGAGTGATTGGCATCATTTATTTTTCAAATGATTTATACATCTAATGTCTATGGATGTTACTTACAAAGATTTAGATATCTAAAATTATTGAATATGAAAAAAAAATTCCGGGTTGGAGTGCTTTTGTGGGGTGGGGGCTAAACCCTGAAAAATACTTAATGTACCACTCTGCGAAGCTACCACTCTGCGAAGCTATTTTTCTCATTGCTCAGGGGGCTCCCCTTGTGATAAATGATAAGTACAACAAGGCATTAACATGACAAAATGTCACAACTTAGTTGAAGCCAGATGAAAATACCGTTTTCACCTTGAGGAGGTCATTAAAGTTTAACTCTATTTTGACCTTGAGAATGTCATTGGAAGTCAAATCTATAGTCAGATTTGAACTGTTGAGAACTTGTATATGACTTGTAGATGAAAAAATTGGTCAATTTGAAGCAAGATTAAAAAATACCTTTTTGACCTTAGTTGACCTTAAGAAGGTCATTGAAGGTCAAATCTCAAATCGTAATTCAGATTTGAACTTCCAATAACTTATAGATGATTTTGAAAAAAATGGTCAATTTGAAGCAAGTTAAAAAAATCCTTTTTGACCTTTTTGACCTTGAGGTCAAATCGTATATATAAAGTCAGGTTTGAACCTATGAAAACATGTTAATGATTTAAAAAAACAATTAAGTCAGTCTATACAGTATTTGATAAATTATTGGAATTTGTTGCATACACCGACCGCCGATCGCCAACCACCAACCGCTGTAAAAAAGAGACCATTACAATATAACATAATAAAAACTATGGGTTGCTCTCTGAATTTACGATAATGGACATTTTCAAAATATTCAAATTCTTTTTCTACCAAAGCTGCGACATGTGCATTAATATCAACTATATTTAATGTGTGGTATTTTAATGTCAACACAACTGGTTATCATGACCATGTAAAATATATTGAACATATTGCTTATTTATTCTAAAATATTATCAGGCAACATAACAAATGAAAAATGTGCTTCGATAATGTCTCACTTGTTGATAAGGTACATTTGCAACCAGCTCTCAAGGGTTTTGTTTGATATTTCATACTCACATAAAGATTACGTTTTATTACTAAGTATCTCCGTGTGATTTGTATTCTCCAAAACAGTACATGCTTTTGCAACACATTCAATTTTCTAAGAAACTAGATGTAATTGAGAATTTATATAACAATCATTTAAATACTACATTGAATTGGTTTCATTTCTCAAAATAAGTACATGTATTTGAAATCGTATTGGTGCAGAGCTGAAATCTTAATGTTGAGAGGAGACAAAATATTGGACAGCAAAACCCAAATTCACCACAAACATAACAATATTTCGTCTGATGTTTTCGGTGTCTGTCGTGTCAAGCGTAACAACTAAAGGGTACCTTCTTGTGAAGCTTTCAACAACTTGTGCATCAACATCATATCAACAATGTTATTCTAACCATATAGTGAAAGTAATAGATAAATATTAATCCAATGGTTTGAGTTTGAAGTCGCTGGCTATGAATCATCCAGTCTCTAGCAGGTTATAATATAACCTCAACAGTAGTAGTTATATATCATGGTATTTTGTTATAACTGTTATACACTCGTATACTCGAGCAAAATAGAACCTCCAAATGCGCTCCTTAGTGATTTTTAAATTACCTCTTCTGCACTAAGGTTCATAATACACCGTTAGAAAGCTGAGAGCCTTAAGAATCCATCCTACATTCGAATTCTCGTCACCAAGGGGTAAAGGATAGGTGTCGATATGGAGAACTGAATTCAACAATGTTTTTCTCTTAAACCAATCATTGAAAACATTCTGTAAATAAACATGGTATTTTATGTAATGTTGACTGGTTGACAACAATTTAATGCGAAAATTATTTAGAGATATTTTATATAACTGTTTTTGTTAACATTTTTTGTTTTTTAGTGCAATTGTTTTTGCTCCTTTCTACCAATTCTTGAGAATTAAATAAAATGTCTTTCCGAACCTTGTTGGAACAAAATAGCATATACAACATGTTTTTAGACCTCTCAATATTAAAGTTATACAAAGGAATTTTTGGTTGATTTTAAAATGATTTTTCCAATGAGGTTCGGAAAGATGTTTCATTTCTCTCTGGAAACATGAAACCAAGAACAAAACAAGTGTTTGATGTGTTTTTTAAAACAATATATATGAAAGTATGTATATCTATTTCAAATTATATTGTTACCATTCAAAAGATGGCCATTAATTAAATTGACAAGTTGTAAGATTTTCAGAAATTGTTGATGACTGGTTTAAGAGAAACGTGTGTTTAAAAAGTTCGCCATATCGATACCCATTCTTTAAGAAATCAATCATGCTTTTTCAATCAAAATGTATTTTGACAATTGGTTTCTATTTTCAATCTAAATGTCCATAACAACAAATAGCAACTCAAGAGTATATAAGTATGATGTTTTCATTTAATGGTTATGATTACGTTTCTTCTATGAGATTACCACCCACATATCCATGAAAACAACGACGCGTTTCTTATTAACATCATCATTTTTTCTTGATTTTTCACATAAAACAGGAGAATGTACTTTAATCGCATAAAGGATGTATCTGTGTCACTCTCCGTGATCAGTCGTTTGACGTTTGCTTCCCTACTTAGCTTATGAGGGTGGGCTGGTGGTTGGTTGGAAAAATGTTTGGTTTCAGAATGCCTATATGGACTGTTATGTCTAAGAAACTATTCATTGGAATTACTCAATATTAGACAATATGCATGTTAGAATTGGAATTCTACATTAGAGTGAAATAAAAAGATGCTGTATGAGTAAATAGGTGTGACAATAGAGGTCAAGGTCAAATATTTGGCTTGATGGATTGATATGTAGTGAATACCCCATACAGCGTGTTAAGAATGTGTGTAGTTCGCCTTTGAAATTAATTATAAATAAAAATAAATGTTGATGAATATCTGAAAGAACAGGAAAATGCGACCACGGCCGAAACAAAAAAAAACTGAACATGCATATTCTAAAATAATTTAACGGTTGGTTGGAAATTTTCTGTGGTTAATAGTATAGTTTCCATATAGCTTTTGAAATCTCGCTAAATCTCGTTTTTCGTGAGATTTTAAGAGACTTGCATATTAGACCTCTAATGACTTACATTACCTTCTTTTAAATGGTATATTTGAATTCAGTGGAATGTTTTCTCCTAAAATAGCTTTGATTTACACAGTAATGTAATGTAATTTGAATAATTTTCTATGACAATTTAAAAAAAGTTGGGCCAAATGTCCATAGATGCAATGCTAAAATTCTTTAAAACCGTGGATTATTTGTATGTCAATCAACATTAGCATGTTTAATCACAACATGTTCATAAACAGGGTCATCATGTGGTATATCATTCAAGTTTTATACAGATTCAACAAACACACTTTGATAAATCATGAAATTAAGCCACTTTTCCAAGATTTTAGCATGTAAGTGAATGGAGCTCTAGCCAAAGTTAAAAGCTGAATAAAAGATGGCAGCACGAGATTTCATTGATTTTTCTGCTATTTAGAAACTATCCTATTGAACAATGATAGGTATGGGATAAAGAAATCATTCAATATAGTGGGTTCAGGATATTGGGATTATCCCTTGGCCAATATAAAATATCTAACTTCGGGACCTACGGCCCTCGGGCAGATATATTATATTGGCCTCGGCATAATCCCAATATCCTGAACCTCATATAGGATAATCTCGATGTATTATGACGTCACACGTTGGAATGGCGAAAATAACAGCCATGTTGGCTATTGGCTATTTCATTGACCCCAGTTTCTTTATAATTTTTCTTTTTCTTTCTTGTTATGTTTGAATTCTTGTTTATGTTTGAATCGGAATAAATAAGAGACCATTCAATGTGTTGAAATTTTACACTCGTTCGACAGAATGTCAGTTCAAATTCACTCACCTTCAGTTCGTGTTTTGTACGACATTCTGTCAACCTTGTGCAAAATTTCACCGATATATTTCACCGATCATTATTTATTCCTTAATTAAAACATCCGCATTGGAATTTTAGTAAAATTACCCTCACCTTCCCTCAAAAGGATTGACGTAAATAAATATTTGACTGCGATAAGAATGATTTTAGTATGCATTTTGCAAATTTTATTCTTAACGTCGAATATATCATACGATCCCTCTCATTAATGTATTGTATATTAGGTCAATGTGCTAGTCACGTTAATATTCTGCACGATCGGATCTAAATTTGAGTTAAATACCCCCTTCTTTTCTCGAATAAATGAACGTTGGTATACACAACTAACTGCGATAATAATTGTTTAAGTCTGCATTAGCCTAATTATACGATTCTTATTCTCAGCGTAGAATATATTATTAGATGTAATATCTCGCTGTATCGTAGTAGTTATTATCGGGATTTACGTTATATTTTACTAAAAAGTGTGGCCATTTTGAATTGAGTTGTCAGAATGAAAATGGCTTCATGAGCCGATGCTATTTGTCCCTTTACATAATAGTTTAAGCAAGTTGTCCCAAATTCAACAACTGGTATACGATTAATTAAAAATGTTATTGTATTATAAAAAATATACTGCAATCTTTAATTGAGCAGTCATCTTGAAAATTCCTTCTCGAGCAGAGTCATATGTCCTTGGAGCATTCAGTAAGCATATATCTTATATGAACAATTATCAAAAGTCCATAATTATGATAAATGGCGGACAATCTGAATTGATCGACCATAATATCGAAAATTCCATTTTGAGTAGCGGTGCTACACCCATTAGGCATAAGCACTTACCATTAGGAGTAAATCTGTCATTTGGTATTTAGGTTATCGTCCAGACAGAAGAACGACGGACGGACGGCAGACGTCTTGTAACGTGTAAATATGTTTCCTATATGTTTAGTTTAGAGAATATTTACACATAGATCAATTTAGACTAACATATTTTAGGACCTATACACCATGAATTGGTAGATTATAAGGTCACATTTTATTTCATTATTGCACCCTAAGGTGCTATATTTTAATCAGTTTGCCGGTCGGTTGGGCGGGCGGGCGTCCCGAATAATCTTGTCTACAGGTTTCCAGCCAAACCGTTAGGTGGATTTATTTGAAATTCTCAGGGATGTTTCAACCTATTAAAGTTTAGAACTGATTAGTTTTTCGGCATTCTGGGTAAATGTTAAGGCAGCCATTTTGGATTTTCCGTCCTAAAATCTTGTCTGTGAAGGCTTGTCTACAGGTTTCCAGTCAAACCGTTTGAGGGATTCATTTGAAATTCTCAGGGATGTTTCTACCTATAAATGTTTAGAACTGTTTAGCTTTTCGGCATTCTGGGTAAATGTTAAGGCGGCCATTTTGGATTTTCCGTCCTAAAATCTTGTCTGTCAAGGCTTGTGTACAGGTTTCCAGCCAAACCGTTTGAGGGATTCATTTGAAATTCTCAGGGATGTTTCTACCTATAAAAGTTTAGAACTGATTAGTTTTTCGGCATTCTTCGTAAATGTTAAGGCGGCCATTTTGGATTTTTCGTCCTGAAATCGTATCTGTAAAGGCTTGTTTTAAAAAATAAAAAATAATTTCCAATTGAGAGCAATGTTAAATTAAAACATTTTTTTAGAAATAACTAAACAGTCAATCTTTACAATTTTCACATATTTTGTAATACATCAGTATATCTTTTAAAAGGATTTTTTCAGGAAAATCTGAATTGTAGAAAAAAGCTGATACACTGTGAAGTAATACCTTAAAACGTGTCTCTTGAGGGTTGTCTACAGGTTTCATGGATTCCTCCTAAAATTTTAGAGATGTTTCTATGGAAAGTTTAGAACTGATTAGGCCATTTTGAATTTTCCATTCCTAAAAGTGTATTCTGTTCAAGGATGCGATTCTGTTCACCCTGTGGCTTGTTATTTAATCTTCATTGATATGAGGTATGCCGTCGTAAAACAAGAACACGTGGTACGATCGTTTAAATGTAGGAGAAACTTTTAAAAGGATCAGCCAGAAGCTTTTCAGCTATCTGACGAGACGGTAGTTTCATTTTCAAGCTCAATTCATAGTTGGTAATTATTGATTTAGAGAGTTTATCTAGTTAGAGTCAAGACATGAATTCAACATGTAAAGTAAGTTTTTCATACGTGTTATATATTTACGTTTTAATAATTCTTATTTGAAGACATTTTAGTCAGAAGAATTAACATCAGAGCATATTCGTTCATTGTTTGCCAGGGGCGATATTCTTTTAAGTTAAATAACTCTCTTACTTTCATATTTTATCTATTTTTATAAAATATTTCTAATAAATTTGCTCTTGGAATCTTAAATCAACATTCACCTTCAATTAAATTAGTTTGTAATGATCATTTTTGTTTCGCAGTTGAAATTGTGTCAATTGTGTTTAAAAGAAAAGTACAGGGTGATCCATAAGTAACACCAAAGATGTTGCAATTTTACTACTACTGTGCGAATCTTTGTGAAACTAGATACCGATGTTCCCGAAATATATTTGAGTGTATACTTCAAATTTAACACGAGTTTCTACTATTTGATTCTATGTTAACTATGGTAACCCAAGTTCTTTCAGTTTCAATTCAATTCAATTTTCACATATAAAAGGTTTGACAGGTGACATCATTTCTGATGTTTATACCCGTACATGTTAAAGCATAATATTACGAATATTAAGAGCAAGGTAAGGTCAAGGAATTATCAAACATATCGAAATTAAGTTTTGTCTAAGAGAAAATCGAAGTGGGAGTGTTGGTGGAGGAGGTGCATCACAGATATGAATATACCAAGGTTTAGCCTCCAGTACCCAGGCTTTGAGTTATATTTGTATATCATTTTTATAAAATGCATGAATATGAAAATTGTAAATGAAATCATGTATACAAAGCCAAAATATGTTTCTTATATTTAGATTTAAGGCATTTACTCGACCTTGAATTTTTAATCCATTCCAAGTCCAGTCCATTCCAAATAAATGGTCTGGAAAATGAAAGCATCTTTCTTCCAAAGGATTCTGTTTTAAATTGGGGCAAGACATACTTATATTTACCTCCTGTATCATACATAATAAGTAAATAAGTTAGGAAATGTATCATGGATGTTGTTTCAATTATTTTGCCACTTAAAGAAAAATTCAGCCACCTTGACTTTAAATATTACATAGTTGGTTAGAATTCCCAATTCTTTAAATAATGGTGAACTATGATCTCAAAATCCACTGTGAGTAACTAATTTAGCAAATTTCTCTTGTATTAAATGAAGTGAATTAATTGAGGTGATATTGGCGTTTCCCCAAATGATATTACTGTATGTTAAATAGAAATGAATTAGAGAATGATATATAGTCATGCAGGTTTTAGTCTATGGTATCTTGTAAATGATTAATCTTGTACAAAATGCCAACTATTCTCGATATTTTCATTTTGACTTGACTAACATGGTCATTCCATGTAAGGTGTTGGTCAATGATCAATCCAAAAAAAGTAGTATGTGTTACTCTTTCAATCTTTTTTACCATCAATAAATATATCTAAATTCATGGTATTTATCTTTTTTTGCTCAGAAGAAAATAATATGTATTTGGTTTTATTTTTGTTAAGAGACAGTTTATTGGCTACAAGCCAATCTCTAATTCGATTTGGTCTGGTGAAGAGAGTTTTAATTGTTGAATATTTCGATCTTTTTTCTTTACAGCTATTCCTCGGCTTGATGGCTTGGTCATTGCTGAACATAGTGGCTGAAGCAAGTAAGTGTATAAATGTATATTCAATCGAAATTCTAATTAGCAATAGTTCAATAAATTAAACCCATACATGGCTTCCATTATCAATCTTTATCTTCTTTGAGCCGTTATCTTCTTTGAGTAGCTCCCATAAATAAAAACATCGACATGCTAGTTAATGTTATCTTTATTTTTTCTACAAGGAGATGGGCAATGCGATGGACTTCCAGTTGAAAGACAGTCACCAATTGATATAAAGACATCTACAACTAAATGCTCGGAGATGGGCAGTATATATGTTCCAGAAACTACATGCAATGATGTACGTCTAGTGAATCATGCAGGCCATACTGGTAATTTTATAGTTTACTCTTATACAATTCACATTTTGTTGTTCAAAGAGATATGGAATTTACTATTCTGGCTTAAGTGTTCCTGTTCATAATTATATTTTACCTTCGACAAACTATAACTAGTGCACCAACATATATTTTACGAACTAAACTTTCAGCTCAATTGGAACTGGATGAATGTGACTACACAATAGAAAGTGGGCCTTTTGTTGGACAATACAGTATACTCCAAGCCCATTTTCATTGGGGAGAGGACTCGACGAAAGGCTCAGAGCACACGGTTGACGGATACCGATACCCAATGGAGGTACTTTATGCATTCCCTTGTTATTTGGAAATATGCAATTAGTCCGTCTAATATAATGTGATGGCAGTAAACCTGAGATCGCCATCTCTAAAGGACTTGCAAAGAAATGTTTAGGCCAAAAGTTCGGCCCTCCAACATAGATAAATTAGGCACCGTTAGTCCAGTATAACCAAAAAGCTTTGAAATTCCTAAGTAACTCGTGTTATTTCGATGAGCCTCCATTAAGATAGTAATGTTTTACATTTTTCATTTATCCAATGTTGCACTTATTGTCGTAGATGCATATTGTGACGAAGATGAAGTTTGGTACTTCCCCTTGTGCTGAGCTTGCTGTCCTTGGTTTTTTCTTCGAGGTATATTTTCGTATTGAAATACCCGGTCAATATATTTTTATGGGGTCATTAACAGAAACTTTACAAAGTTTTAGGCTGCTTTTTTGAGCTGCCCTTGTGCTTGTGTATTGCATAATAAATAGTAAGGCGTCCAAACGTTTTAAACAAAAGCAGTTCATCCTAGCGCACTTAAACCGCTAATTACGCTGTGGCAATCTTGTCAGTCAAGGGAGTTCGATTGCAACAAACCGTGGTGTCTTTCAAAAGAATGTGAGTGTTAGTGCGCTTCAATGACCACCATTAGGCTGAAACAATGGATAGTATGAAAATATCATGGGATATGTGGTTTTAACTGTATCGCATTCCAATACCCATCCCATTTTCCGAAGTTGTTGATATAGTCCAGAAAAAACTTTTGATATATTTAAATTGAGAAAAACAAGATTCTCCTTTTAAGAAAAATAAGCCTAAAATCTATAAAACAGTGATAAGGTGGGGTCCAAATCCATAATTTTTCAGAGAGTTAGTTTATATTTTTATTATCATGTAATCGTAGACTTCACCTCAAAGAAAACATATTGTTGTTATAAAAAGAACTGTATTTATTGCCAGAAAGTACTAATGTTGAAAATATGACTTACTAAAATCACATGCCATACATTATACATGGCCCTTTATCAAATCTTTACACATCTGTTTTTATGTTTACATGATACATTTCTCTCGACATGATTATGTTTTTGTTACTTCATATGACTATTTATCTTATACATTTAGATAAGTAATACAGATAATCCAGCATGGAATGACATCATTACGGGACTTGGCGAAATCACAATGCCAGGTAAGACAATTACTGGTTAGGTCATTTTTCATTCATCTTACACTCGCTTAAAGTCATGGTTATTTTCATGTTCGCTTTCATTTCGTTTAAACTTGTATTACTGCTTCCGGCGTTTGTAATAAATCGTTACGCGTAATACAACCATTTGTAGAAAAAAGTCGTGGTCTTTGGTTTTCTTGACTTTACGATGAATGCATACAGACAAACAGATTTACATAGTACTATAATAATGTAATAACGTTTTGAAACGATTTGTTTTGCTAACAAGGTGAGGTCCAAATCCATAATTCTTCGGAGAGTTGGATTGATATTTCTATTATCATGTACTCGTAGACTTCATCTTCACGCTGTCGTTTCAAATTGATTTTAGACGAGGAGACAACCCTTGACTACATTAACCTCCAAGACTTGTTGCCCAGTGATATGTCTGAGTTCTATAGCTACTTCGGGTCATTGACCACTCCACCGTATTCTCAAATCATTAATTGGACTGTTTTCAAGAACACAATAAAGATATCGGAATATCAGGTACCATGACACGATACGGAATTTAGTTACAACATTCAGCAGTCATTTCAACAACAAAAATATTAGATGAAAGATTCTTTCTTCATAATGCTTTTTGTGTACTAATGCAGCTTTCCATCTACGTTTAGCTGAGAAACTGGTGTGTAAGATAATATCATGAAAGGTAGCGATCAAAATATGCAGTTTGTAGTAAATTCTTAATTCATACGATTATTTCATTTTTATTATGTTTTCGTTCACGGCGAACGAGTGTCGTGTTTTCAACCATACTTGAGCGTGGTTTCTGTCACACTTTGACAAGATCAAATATGACGTCGAAGATAATTAATTATGTCAAACAGAGAGGTGGTGGATTGAAATCAGGCAGCTCCATAAGTTTAACTATTTACTGAGTTTCTATTTCGTTCCAGATTGCACAGTTCAGAAATTTGCTGAACGGAGACGAGTGGAGCATTGTGGATAACTTTAGACCAGTTCAACTTTTGAATGGAAGAACTGTGTACAGCAACTGGTAAGTTAATGGAAACCAATAGGTAAAGGTCTCGAACTATCTGACTCTCGACCATACCTTATTGTCCTTTTTACCCTGCGTGCAGAGTCTAGTTAAACTACGAAGACGAAGCTCTCTTTTAAGAAGTGAAGTCAAACGAATGCAAAGGGTATGTCCTTTTATACATGCTTTGAAAACAGTGCAATATGAAATTTTTAATTTTCAAATTCCCCTTTATTAGTTAACATAGATATACATGTATGTACTAAACGAAAATAGATAAATTCAAATTTGATATACCACCGAATATATCTGGTTTATCTTCAACGTTCCTGGAAATATAATATTGTTCCAGTTGTCAACAAATGAACGTACTATAGTAAAAAGTGGTCATTTGTAACTTTAGATGTTTTTTTAAATCTGTCAGAAAATATTGGTTCATTTGGCAATAAATGTTGTATGAATTCCAAATGATAATTTGTAGAGACGACACGTGTCTTTCACACCTTACATAGATTAGAACATCGATCTTATTGGAATTCTGGGCGATAGAGATGACAAACTGTTGATCCTGGAACGATATCAAACGATTTTGACATATTCTCAACCGTACCTATAGAAATGCAAATATCATGACTATTTTTAGTTGGTAACCATTGGACAGAAGAATGGAAAATGGTGCTGCAGATACCAATCGAAATTTTATGTCTGACATGAATGAGAAAAATATTGGACACTCTATGCCGTAATCAACATTCATCCAGGGGAAATGTATTTGATATTATTCTACATTCTTTGTGTCAGATGAAAGTTGAATAAAATTAATGAAAATGCACAAAAAGTTAGTTTGGGGGAAAATAATATAGGCTAATTAACGAGGCCATTATTGAAATGTTGATTGTTTTCGATATATTGAAAAATAATAGCAGCATAATTATTTTGCCTTAAGCTCGTGTTTTAAGGGTTGATGAATAACACTGGGGAGTATCGTGATGCAACAACACCGTGTTGTTGCATCAAGATGGCCAGACTTCCGGTGATAGATTTTCGTACGATATGTTGTTTCCCCAATTTAAACTCATTTCTAGGACGAGTTTCTCAATAACCATACACGTGAAGTTAGCGCACGATCTATATTTAAAGAAACTGTCATTAGTATACATGTAGCATCATCAAGAAGCAAGAAGTTCACGGTTTTAGTTCCTCACTATTGATGCAACAACACCAAACCGAAGATGCAACAACACTCCTCTAGATTTGAGCAATGATGCAACAACACCAATTAATAGTATAATTTCAGAAGACCATAAATTTCGAGAGGAACACATTTTTAAATGCTACTATTGCAACACCGGGCCAGTACCCATTTGCGTTCTTCTCAGGCATTCAAAATACACGTCCCGCGGGCGAAGATTCTTTATATGTATTTTCAAAAATTTATACTTTTAAATATCATAATGTACTGGAAGTTGTTTTATAACATAGTTCAATCGCCTTTAACATTGCAAGCTATAGTAACCCAATCTATTATCATAAACCCCTGTTTCATAGCTTGATGACCCTGATACCAGTTAGTATCATTCAAAATGGTGGACAAATCTTTCGTTCTCGGTAAACACGACGAGCTATTGGAAATCTTGCACGGCGCACATGTAGAAGTATTGTTCTCTTTGGATTCGTTCTCCCCGATTGAGTAAAAAGGTAGGTAATAGGATATAGGTCCCGAAAAGGTAAATTGATAGGGGTCCAGTAATCTCAGATTCCCCCTGGGCCATCGGGAAATATTATAATGTGTCCCGGAATAAAACCAATATTGAATCCCTCTCTCAGTGAATAACCTCTATATAATAGCATTGTATAACTGCAATATCATTAAACCAACACTCATCGGAAGTTATGGCGTTTTGAAAACTCAAAATCGCTTAATTTGGTGCCCCATGTCAACTCAATAGGAATTTTTTTTTTGAAGTGTAAAATACGACATATATACGACCGAGTACAGCTTAATTTAATGAAAGCCTTTAAATGAAGGGTACCTCAAAAGCAATCTAGCTTCAAAATTTGGACACAAAAATGTCTAGGTCAAAATCTAGGTCAAATTCAAAGTTTTCCTTATTTTTGTGATTCTGACACTACACTATCTATCCTTCCTATCCTTTCCTTCCTATCCTTCCTACCTTTCCTTCCTATCCTTCCTATCTTATCCTTCCTTGCTATTCTATCCTATCTTTCTTCTCTATTCTCTCCTATCGTTCCATCCTATTCTGTCTTATTCCTCCTTCCTATTTCATCCATCCATCCATCCATCCATCAATCCATCCATCCATCCATCTTTTTCTGGATGACTCGGCTTAAAAAAGTCCAGTCTGGAGTCTGAATTTGAACTTGTTCAATTTCCAAAGTCTAGTTATATTAGTTCTTTGTAAACAATATCCATGCGATACGGTAAATCAAGGGGATTTAATTTAGAAAATGAATAATCTTTATTTTTCAGATACAATATCAATGAGGTTGGCTCCCGGGGATTCAATACTTAGCCTATGTATTTAGTTTACCTTGTATATCCTTTTAACTTTGATAAAGACAAATACATTAAGGAACCAAACAAAATACGTTTCATTCATGAACCACGCACTCACGCGTTTTATTCATGTCCCGACCAACACCTATAAACAGAACATAAAACAGATATTCAATGATACATTATACAAGGGGCGATCCATATATTCTGATAAAAATGCTCTCATTTTGTGATTTTTTCACATATCCCTCTCATTTTTTCAGAAAATGAAGATTATGTAATTACACATACAATGCTAAAATATTATAGCTATATCTTAAATTATCAATGAGATAAGGTTGCCATGGTAACCTGTATTAAGGGTAGGCAGGTCAATTAAATTATACATATAAATATCATAATAACTTGTTATTTTAATTATCTTAAAGCATGCGGAAATCATGTATTTTTTCTAAAAAAGTTTGGTATTGTTACTTGTTGTTTGTTGCTCAACAAATGTTTATATGTGCTCACTATAACATCACAACAAATCACAATAGCATTGTAGGACAGAATGGGCCAATTGACATTACATGTTATGAGACACACCAAAAATCAAATTGTCAGATGAGGTTAATGTGGCTGATGCAGAGTGTGACATTAACAGATACATTAGGGAATACCATTAGATTTTCTTTTCTTTCAAGAATAAGTAAGAGGACACTGTCAGAGACATACATGGACTCATTAAGTGCATGGGCAAGGTGTTATATCTGCAAAAAGAATCTATAGGTAGTATTGTAAAGAGGAAGGCATGGTCACTGTTGAAGATCATCCACAATCTGGTTGCAAGAAGAGCTTGCGGACAGAGAATAACACTACGATAAATTGAGATGTTACTAATGAAAAGATAGCTATCCCACTGTATAAATTATCAAACAAGGGCAACAGGGGTATGGAACAGATCAATGAATAGTTGGCAAAGACTGGAAGATGCTTTTGATCTGCTTAAAATAGGTACCGAGGAATGAATAAATTAACATATTTATCTATTTTAGACGTTATAATTTAACTGACCTACCTACCCTAAATACAGGATACCATGGCAATCTTATTTCAAAATTAATTGAAGATATAGCTAAAATATTTTAATATCATATGTGCAATTACATAATCTACATGTTCTGAAAAAATGAAAGGGATATGTGAAAAAATCACAAAATGAGAGCATTTTTATCAGAATATATGGATCGCCCCTTGTATTGGCGTTTTTGCATCATCACATTGGTGTTGTTGCATCTTCGATAATAAACAGAGTGGTGTTGTTGCATCAATAGTGAGGAATTAAAACCGCGAATTTCTCGCTTCTTGATGATGCTACATGCACACTAATAAGAGTTTTTTAAAATATAGATCATGAGCTAACTGCACGTGTATGATTATTGAGCAACTCGTCCTAGAAATGGGTTTAAATTGGGAAAACAAAATATCGTACGAAAATCTATCACCGGAAGTCTGGCCATCTTGATGCAACAACACGGTGTTGTTGCATCACGATACCCCCCAGTGAATAAGATACTGTTAAAATATACAAGAATAGCTCATTGTATATTGTGCATAATTGCAACTAAACATATTTTATTATTGAAATATCTCATTTATTCAAAATTTTCTGTATAAAGCTTGCATTACAATGGAAATGACTGACTAATTAACTAATTAACTATTGATTTAATTGGGTTGCAAAAACAACTAATTTCGGGGAAAGTTATATATGCAAATTAGGGCGGCCATTTTTGAAATATTGATCAATTTCTTACATAATTCAAAAAGTACTAATGATAGCATCACAATTGTTGAGCCCTTACCCAATGCATGTTTTCAGATCAATGAATAAGATAATGCAAAAATAATTCATTATACATAAATGTACAGGGCTTTCAATAAGTATTGCTTATTTTGTAATAACTTTTGTTATCTTGCTTTTTTTGTTCATGAAACTTGCACAACCTAAGGAACACATATCTGACCTTATCCTATCCGGACAACCGACTTAGTATTGACAAAGTTATGGTTACTATAGTAACCATTGTCACGGGTACGCGGGGCAACTTTAAGGGTTTACATGATAAATGATTGTTATACATCAAATAAACACTTTGATTAATAAAAACTGCTCATATGGTCAAATCTTGATGTTGTCAGTTTGAATTATATGTATTATCTGACAAGGAGCTATGACATCACAATATGTATAGAACATTAATTATCAAAGGAGTAGATTATAGTCGCATGATGATGTCATACCCCATTGGAACAAAATGGCTGATAGAAAGGCTGTCCTGCCAAGCAATATTGACCTATAGGTTCCACCAGGATAATGGCCTGCTCACAGATCCTCTATTGTCCAAAATACAAGCTTGGGATGGAAGCATTGCCCCACGCAGCATATTCCCCAGATAATGTCCCACTTGATTTTGCTGTATTCGACCCAGTGAAAAGAGATCTGAGAGGAATATCACACCAGAATCTCAATCAACTGATGTCTGCAGTGAAAACCTCCCTAGCCACATGCTTCAAGGGTGGCTTCAAAAATGTTTACCACGAGTGAGTCCCCAGACAGCAACTGTACATTGACGCTGAGGGTGCCTCTTTTGAGCACTTCCTGAAGTGAAAATGGATCATGAAGTGACTCTGGAATGGATTATTTATAACTGCACCGAATATCCCAAGAGTATAACATGATACTGCCTTCAATACTCAAATTGTTGTCCAAAGTGACGTCAGAACCGCATATCCATGACACTGGTTACCTTAGTAACCATAACTTTACTAATACTAATTCAATTGACTTGAAATTTTTATTGGTCAAAGTCAGATATATGTACCTTATGTTGTGAAAGTTCCATGAAGAAAAGCAAACAGAAAAGATTTAGCAAAATTAGCAATACTTACTGAACGCCCTGTATATATGCAAATTAGGATATTTTAACATTGAAATATCGCGCATTCATTTAAAAATATTCCATTTACCAGGCTTGCAATGCAATTGAAAATATTGACCGATTGAGGGTTTCTTTAGTGATTTAATTTGATGCCGAAAACAACTTTAAGAGAAAATTACATATGCAAATTTTTGTGACCAATATTGAAATATTG